GATATAAGGCAACGGGTGGTGTGATAATGGGTTATGTTATTCTTGCACATTTTGGGTGAATTGCTTCTCCTTCAAGTTAAATCACACGGCAGGATGACTAAAGTTCATGAGGGGAGATTATCAACTGAGGCAGTTTGGAAATTGGAGCCCTGCATCCTCTGTGTTGAGTCACAGACAGGAGATAAGTGAGGATTACAGTCAAAGATGTGTTCTGGCTGGACATAGAAATATTCAGAAATGTGTAATTAATCCGCACACGCACACTGTACACACATGCTGTCTGACCTTGAGAGATACAAATTGCTATCTACATTATTAGATCCCTTGCACAGGGCTGAACATAATCACAGTTTAATTAAAGGTGCCAAGATAAAGAATCAGCGGGTTCACAGGCAGGTACAAAGAGCCCAAGTGAATTGAACTGATAGTAAAGTCCTTCATCCCTCACCCTACTCTTACAGCTTATTAATTGCGCACTTCACACTCCAATGCACGCTCTGCTTCAGTTAATAAACCTTGTCACCTTTTGCATCAGTACGGCTTACAGCAAGTAGTACACACCAAAAGAGAAGACAGTGAGAGGAATCAGGGTGTGTCTCAGCATCACTCAAACATAATCTCTGCCCATATGTGACCTCTACTGACTAATTTATGGAACTGCACCTCTCCACCTCTCATTACGGTCCCAGTGCGTGCAGCAGAGCTGGAGTCAGCAAAGAGCACATTAAACTCGGTGAAACATCAAACTGCTGCTTGTTGAATCAGACACAGAGGGTCATCCAGTACAGACATCCTGCCAAACTCCCTCTGCCCTAAAACACAATTATCTCATTTCCCCTCCGAAATGCATCTAATAAGGTTTATTGGATGAATAGGAGTTATATTTTCATATCCTAATCCATCTAAATGATATTATATGAATTAGGACAAACATTTTTGGCTACTTGTGTTAGAACAGCTTGCTTTTGTTTTCTCACACAGACTTGGACAAGAGCTTTATTGCTAAAAAGTTAAATTTAGACGGATTAGTAACTTGATTACTGACATCCCTGAACACGGTGGAGAAAAAGGCATTTAGTTTAATGAGAGAGATTTAGGTCACTGTTGACCACATAATACAATATTCAAATAAGTTGTAGTAAAGTAGGCCTGCAAATAATTATTTTTCATTGATTTATTTAATAGATTAGTTCATAAAAGGTCAGAAAATGTGCCCTTTCACAATTTCTCAAAGCCCAAGCTGAGACATTGAAATGTCTTGTTTTGTACAACCATGAGTCCTAAAACCCAAAGATATATGATTTTATATCATAGAAGACCAAAAAAACACAAATTCACATTTGATAAGCTGGAACCTATAAATATTTGTCATTTTTGCTTGAAAAAATGAGTTAAACCATTAATAGATTATCAAAATAGCTGCTGATTAATCATCTGCTAATCTATCAATCAACTAATAATTTCATTTTTGCAGTAAAGTTAAAAACACATGTACGAATGCATGCAAAGGAAAATGCAAAATGAGCCTACATGAGATTATTCATAAAATAACACACAGCAACATTGAAATCATCCACAGTGGATTTACCACTAAACACTGACGTGCACGAAGTCAAATGCACTGACACGATGACGGCTAGTTGCTAAGCACACATTCTCAGCGTGAAGTCAACTCACCTCCTCCAGCTCTTCCTCCTCACCTGACAACTTGGCAAAGCTCCTGTGAAAAATGCTGCCAAATAAAAAAAAAGGGGGACCATTACCAGGGGAGGAGTCCTGGCTTCAAGTCAGGTCAAATGCCAAAAAGAGACTGTGCTGAATTCCTCCATAAGACTCCAATAAGCAATCACCACTCCTCCGTACACTGATGGATGGACCAGAGCCCAGCCCCGTCCCTGCCTCTTATCTTCCTTTGCCTCTTATCCTTTCCTCTTTCTCTGGATTAAATCCATTGAGTCTCTGTGACTCCACTCATCTCTTTCTCTCTTTTCCCTTCCTCTCTTTTCCCTTCCTCTCTTTTCCCTCTCTGTCATGAGCATAATCACATGTACACATACTACACAACTGGGCGGATGTCCACAGAGCAGAGACAGAGGGCTAGTGTTGGCCAATCGCCGGCTATAAATAGGCTTCTTGAGTTCATCATTGTCTCTTCCTATGATGGTGAAGAGCCCAGAGGGCTTCGAGAGAGGGAGGAAAGAAGACCAAGCAGCATCACTCTCTGATGGCTTTTACTCCCCTCCTTGTATCGACTACAGTCTCCCTATCAGTTTCACCTTTGCTGATGTTTTTTTTTTTCAAATTCAATGATAAAAAGAAAGAAGAACAGTACATTGGATTGTACTTTGGAGCTTTATTTGGGTTTTTATAGGAACACTGACCATAAATCCATCTATCATAATGAAAAGGTAATTTGTGTGATGTGCTCTAATAAAGCGTGAGACAGTGAGCCCCTACCTGCACAGTTGTTGAATGTCAGAGTGCACCATTACTAGTTAAATGCCAATGACGCTCTTCATGTAGTAGTAGTATAAGCGGTAGTATAAGTAGTAATAGCAGCAGCAGTAGCAGTAGTAGCAGTAGTAGTAGTAGTGTATTGTGTCAGTCTACATGCTCTTATAAAAACACTAAACTGCAGCTACAGTGGTGAAACAACTTTTTTTCACTGTCCAGTGAAAACCATGTATAAACCATGTATAAACCATGTTGTAGGTTGTAGATACACTACAACCTACAACGTGATATTTAACTTTTCTGAAGGATTAAGTGTTCCCTGAGCAAAAGGAAAAATGATTATGTTATGATTAATGATGTTAAATAAACCATTTACAAACCCACTGGATCATCAAATGAAATAAAGAAAAGTGTTAGAGAATTGTGGAGGTTGACAACAAAGAATATAACTTCTTAGGTATGTTACATTGCAAGCAAAAGTCAAGTTCTTTTACCAATACACTGTGGTATGGTACAGTATACGACCAAAGAAAATACACTAATTATTTTCAAGCAAACGGATTATGCTTCACTGGCATTGCCGATATTCTTTTGTTGATAGGTCAGACACATTCCTAGAGAGAAATGTCTGACTGACCTATTGCCCCCTGAGTCACACAAATCACTTAAACCCATACAAGAACTCTGAGACAGTGAGTAATCCACTCAGCAGGAAGGAACATCCCATGCTTTCTGCAAAAACACCTTGTAAGGCAGCAGTGTTTCTTCTTAGACTGGACAGATTTATAGGACGTTCGCTCTGGATATCATTGTTGCTTATCATGGTTTCTCTCCTTTATTAATGGTTGTCTGAGACACATAAGCGTCAGCAGGGAGTACACCCAGTATTTCATGAGAAGGCACGGACTACCCTGCAGTCAATTCCGCTGCAGGAGCTGTGATGAGCAAATGTCCGATATGGTTAAGAGCAAGAATATCAAACAAATATGGTCATTATGAAATTAAAGGTTGATTGCCTTCTAGCTCAAGAAAACACGGTACTTCTGCATTCTCACATTCAGTTACTGAGTTTCAATCCAGCTCAGCCATGTTTGAAGCAGGGCAGAGATATGTTTTTCAGTGTTTCGTCTCTGTTCTAGCCTCTGTGACAGGTGTACTTTCAGCTTTAAGGGTTTTTAAGGTTGTTCACGTCCATATTCGGTGAACAGTGGAGGGACTGTGGCCCTTTTCTTTTTAATCGTTTCCCCCAAATATAAGACCAATGATGCCAAACTGACGTATTTAAAGCAACCATGGAGGTTTTTTGTGCCAAACAGTGGAATGCCCTTGATTTGCCAAATCACTCATCTGACCTCAATCCAACCCATCATGTGTTTCACTTACTTAAAGACCAGACAGATGGAGAAAAGAAAAAAAATTCCTTCACGGAGGGGGAACAAGTGAGAATGGAAGATGGCTGCAGTACAGGCCTGGCTGAGCGTCATCCGGGTGCCTGCTGATATCTGTGGGTCATAGACTGGAAAGGATTTGTAAAATTTAAATATTAAATTTTTGGCCGATTAAGGGCAGCAGAAAGAAGCTTCTAACACAGTTTTAGCCTTTTAATGGTTCTTGGACAAGGAACTTTTAGAAAATCCTTCTTATTAATGACACTTGGCTGTCAACTGAGCTGCAGTCAGCATCCAAACTTCATCCTGGGCATCAGCCAAAGAAAGTGACACAACATACACAAGACTGATCGCTGAAATTGATACTGAATGTTAGAAAATCAATTATAATCATATTTAGAACAACGGATAGCCAGAAAGCTACAGCCAAGCCAAGCTGAATGGATGCGGCCGACAAAAAAAAACAACCTGAAAAACGGAAAATCAACCCAGGCAGATCAGACCCAGAGAGTCTGGATGAATTAGCTGAACTCACTATACCTGCTTTCTGGAATACATTGCTGGGGCAACATAAGCATTCATGAATGTAACTCTAATATTCACACTTCTTTTAGCTCTGTTTTGGTCTCAGGCTGCTAAATGTTTCACTATGCTAACCAGATAGACGGTAACTTTGTTTGTCTTCTGTTAGGTACTGGGCAGATAACAAAAACAGCTGCCTTCTGCGGTTGGAAACGACCTGCTGAGAAACAGTGAGAGGGAACCAAAAACAGTAAAGTTGTTCCCCAGTAAAACAAAAACAATGAGCTAAAAGATCCAACCATACATTTACTGAGGTCTTGCAACAGTACTGTTCGATACTGAAGTCCTCAAAACTCCAAATAATTACCTCTTCTTTCCTTTTGGGGTCACTAATAGAGAATTACCTTAAAGGACCAGAATGTGGCTCATTTAAAGACATGACAAGTTTCCATTCATCTGCTTTCAACAGTTTTCTGGCAAGCGGTCATGTGATTTCACCAAGTCGGAAGGTTTCTGATACATGGTGATGGCATACGTCTCTCTTGTAGTCTTCCACCCTCCCTGTCCATCAATAAGTACGCTCACTATCTTTCTCCTCCTTTTCCTCCCTACTTCTCTCTCCCTCTTTTTGTGTCTGTGTCCTGACTCCTCCCTCAGTTCAGTTTGGTGTCCATTCAGCCTCCCTTCTCTGCTTCTCTTCTCAACTCAGTCATCTCTTAATACCACAGAGAGGATCAGCCTTTCACCTCAACAGGTAGGTTTGTTTAAATCAGGATACGGAAAACATTGTTAAAAATCTCAATACTTAACAGTAGGATTTAATAGTGGTGTCGTGAGTTGTTAGTAAGTTTGTGTCTTAATGTTTAATTTATCTGTGCACTAAAATAGTTAATTTGAAGTGAAAGTATCATTTTGATTTGAAATTTAGAGACAAAGTTACCTATAATCAAATGACTATTGACTAAGCGGTGCTGTTTACAGTTAAGAAGACTATCTCTGAAGTTGAACATTTCCTATTATTGTCTGGGATAGAATGGCTTTATGCTTCCAACAAGTTTTCTGAGCATCTGCAGGAAAGGCAGATAAGAAACAACCTTGAAAAGGTGCCACTGCCAGTGTAAAATCGCCCTAAGCAAGCTCGGAGACTACCCTGAAGCTAACCCCAAACAGTGTCTTTATTTATTATTTTATAAAAGATTGCTTGAGTAACTCAGATAATCTGCATTGTAGATGGGTTGTCTGAGGTCACAGTGGTTAACATGTGTGATTACAAAATGAAATGCAGGGAATTTCCTGTTTATCCAGAGTGACCTAGTAGATTGCTGGCTTTCGGTGTGGATGGCAACATTACATACTACAAATTGTAATATTACATTACATTACATTACATTACATTACATTACGGTGAAGTTGTCACCATAAAAATACATTTAATTTCTGAAACACAGAGCTGACATTGGTGTAGGGTCAATGCAGAGTGTATTCTGATGTAATTTTATCTGTATGAGTTGGTTTGGAGCTATCCGAGCAGCGCCAGCAGGTACTTTGCATTTTATAACCAGGTATGAACAGTCCTACAGATGCCAGTACGCTGAAACAAGAAGGAAAGAAAGAAAGAGCAGTGTATCATAGCAAACTGGTACCTCTCCTTTTATAGATATTGTTGCATCTAGTCTCAAGTGTTGCAGATGGTCTCTGTCTGCTGAGTAAGACTGCTCCAGAAGAGAGATGTAATATATACAGTGAATGAAAAATGTACACAACCGGCTCTCCTGTATGCTTACAGAATGCCTTTCGGAGGAGGAAACAAGTGCGGCTGCTGCCAGAAAACAGTCTACTTTGCTGAGGAAGTGCAGTGTGAGGGGAAAAGCTGGCATAAATCCTGTTTTCTGTGCAGTAAGTATTTAAGTTCTCAGGTAATCTGCTTTATTCGTCTTCTGACTCCCGAGTGCGTAAACAACTCGGAAATCACAAGAAGTGCCAGGATGGAATGTGGAGTATTTGGCATCAGAGTAGGAAAGTGAGCATCTGCAGGTTTTCGCTCAGACATCTCAGTCCTTATTTGGATCCAGTGGAGACATGTGACGAAGGCTTGGCCTTATATGGCAGAGGAAGGTACACATACTCCCCCTCCAGCACAGACTAGTATTTATCTGAGCCAGCTAAGCACGTGGGTATGCCATTTTCTTCTTTAAAATGTCACACATGGTTTGTGGTAATGTCACAGCTAATCTGTAAAAGAAAAAGAAAAAAAACTGTCAGGAACTGTTTTTTAGAGTTTGTTTGGTGTGCTTTATAGATGTTTGTGAGCTAAAGACAGAAAGGATACAAAGGTTTTACAGCATTTCTGATAAGTTTTTGTTTTCCTTTTTCTTTGTTGTAAGTGGTCTGTAAGAAGAACTTGGACAGCACAACAGTGGCTGTTCATGTGGATGAGATCTACTGCAAATCATGCTATGGCAAGAAATATGGGCCAAAAGGCTACGGCTTCGGAGGTGGAGCCGGCACTCTGAGTATGGACACAGGAGAAGGACTTGGAATCAAGCCTGAAGTGTGAGCAAAACAGCACTCCCTCCTGTTATTTCTAACTACTGAGAACAGTATAAAGCTTCATTCCGTATAGCCAGATTATAGAATAACAAAGCACATTTCATATTTTGAACAGAACAAAACTACTTCTCCACATGCTGGATCAGAAATCTCAACAGAGGGATGAAACATAAAAATGAGCTGCATATCTGTATCAGTAGCTCTTAATCAGTTGATTTGACCTTACGGTCTTCTTTGAAGCTCTGTTTTTTTCTTGACAGTCAAGCTCCTCATCGCCCTACAAATAACCCCAATGCCTCGAAGTTTGCCCAGAAAGCAGGGGGTTCAGATGTGTGCCCTCGATGTGGGAAGACAGTGTATGCAGCGGAGAAGGTTATTGGAGGGGGCAATGTAAGTGAGATCTACGTATGTGGTTATTTCAGTTTATAAACTGTACTTTAAAGAGGTCCAGTGTGTAGGATTTAGTGGCATCTAGCGGTGTAGTTCAGATCACAACTTACTCGAAAGAGCAACTACAGTGGCCATATACGTGCAAAATGCAAATGCCCCTATCTAGAGCCAGTGTTTGGTTTGTCCGTTCTGGGCTACTGCAGAAACATGGCTCCATGGAAGATAACCCACAATTCCTACATTCAGGTGATTATACACTAATGAAAATATACCTATGAATATTATATTCCATTTCTGCCAATAGGGCCTCCTAAATGTAATACACTGGACCTTTAAATTAATTATAAAAGTGGATAATTTGTCAATTCTCTGTATATTATATGTACTGTATGTATATTTTTGAGCTTGGACCACCTCTCTGCTCTCTCATCAGTCCTGGCATAAAGGCTGCTTTCGCTGTGCCAAGTGTGGCAAAGGACTTGAGTCCACGACCGTCGCTGATAGAGACGGAGAAATCTTCTGTAAAGGTCTGTGTCTATCAACAAGAGCGTAAACGATTGGTGTATAATTCGATTAGCTGATGGGCAGCAAAAAATAATCTGCAGCCATTCTGATATCAATTATTCATTTTCTCTAGTATTTTATAAAACAAATGCAAACTGTTGTTTTGTGAGAGGCAGTATAATTGAATGACATAAATTCCAGTGGTTGGTTCAACATCTGAACCTCAACCTGCAGAGCAGAAGCAGTTGCTCTAAATTACTTAAGACAGAGGCCCAATAGGTCAGCAGTCCCTCTGACTTTTTGCCATTTAATATATTTTTACTAATATTTAAACAAGATTTTCTAGTTATCTAGTTTAAATAAGCCACCTGATAACTAACTGATACTGTGGCTCTGCAAATTGAGGTTTAATAAACCAGTAGATAATTCAAACTCCAGTCTGCTTATGTATTCTGTGCAGTGTTTCTCAGTCTCTGTAATGTCCTTCACAGGTTGCTATGCAAAGAACTTTGGTCCCAAGGGGTTTGGTTTTGGTCAGGGTGCAGGAGCTCTGGCTCATTCCCAGTAAAGCCCGAAGCTTCAACCCACCTGGGACTGACATCTGCGCTCTGATATCATCGCTTCCAGGATGCTTCAGTCAATATCTAGCCTATTTTACTCTGCCCTTTCATTCCAGCTAAAGGCAAAGAGGAATGAAAGAAGCACACAGCACACAGCTTTTTTTATGAGTTCACCAAGTAGATGTTGCTTAAATGTGTTGTATTTGGAAATTATGTCTTTTTTTGACTGGTTAAAAAACAAGATAACACTTATAACACACTGAATTCTAACAGTGTTGCGATGTGCACATTGTTTGTTCAAACTGAGTGGTTAACAGCAAGCTGGCTCCATTCTTAGACAAACTATTACAAATTAAACTATGTGGCTGCAGTACTAAGAGACACTTGCACTGTAATAACAGAGCTCGGTATGGTGAATGCTTAATTTGATTAATATCTGAATATGTTGGGTGAGCGAGAACAAAATAAGTTTAAAGACAGACAGCAGTGAAAAAACTGCATCACAGTATGTTTGAGTTACACTCAAGATGAAGCCTTCCTTTCTTCTTTACATGTCAGATGGTGTACATACAGTCGTAAGATTGCAATGCATTATTGCTGAGACACAAAATAAATATCAAGCAAAAGAAAATATTTTTTCCCCCTCACTGCCTATGATGTAATCTTTGGCATGCCATACACAACCGTCATTGTTCTTTTTGTGGTTCTGGTCTGATGAAATCAGTGAGTGTGTTTATGAGGTCTTGGGTGTGCTTGTTATTCCTCCAAATGATCGTCAGACAGAGCAAAGTGGGAGCTGTTGTGGTGAACAACGGAGTCGCAGTGCTCGGCCCTGTCTCTGCCTGCACCGAGGAGTTGGCCAGTGACCAGAGTGCCAGGCAGCTGTGCATGGCGGTGATGTGGGCAGCTGTTTGTTTCGGCACTGACCAAACTAAAAGACGGACAAAACGTCCCAGAAAGTATTACTCTGGGATCTGTCCCTAAGCCTCCATAAATTTAGATTCATAAAAAAAAGTGGAACAAAAATGTAAAAATGTTTTATTGATTTGTTCCACTTTGAATTAAATTGATAAATGTCCTGCTGTAGGAATTAAAACGGTTTAATTCCCTTCTGTCCTTCACCCACCAGAGGGCAATAGAGATATCTTACATTAAGTGATGAAGAGAAATTATTAATATGACCCTTTCCAAAACCAAAAACATGAAAGGAATGGACAGAAAAGTGCATTTTTAACATAAGCAGCTAATGTTAGCATGCACGTTAACCAGCTTACTATCTACAGCAGTAACATTTAGCATTTACTTCCAAGGAACATTTCAAACTGCATCATTTTGTGGGGTTACAGGCTATGTTAGAAATATTTGTCCATTTGTGTTTGGCATATCCAATTTCCACACAGTGTGGAAGCTAGTCCTGTATGCTATCAGAGTTTAGCTTAGCATTAGCTTTCCTCTTTCCTGCCCTGTGTTGGATTTTAAGTTTCTACTTCAGTATCCCCACCCAGTTACAGCTCTATTAGCTTTAGCGTTGTAGCAACAGTTAATACAATGTGCAAGTGATAGTTGTCATTTCAGCCAGGAAAATAAAAAACAGGTCTACAGGTGTCTGAAATCAAGGACCCATTGTTTTGAAGATTACTATAAACTGTAATTGTAAATCTAGCATCAATTCCCTTACTCCCTTTCATACCAGAATTCACATTAACATTACATAAGAAATGAAATCAAATATCGATCATGTGACATGCACATTTCACAATAAACATAGATAAATAACGCCTGCACAATACAGCGCCAGCAAACTTGTTTACTTCTTCTTTTGGAGTGAGACTTAAACAATATATTCTACAGCAAAGTATCACATGTGAAAACTACAGTACAGTAAACTGCTGTATAATCCACTGGCATCTGTATATAGCCTACGAGTCAGTGCTCAGTTTCCTAGAGACAGTCCCGCAAACACACACCGCACTTTGTTAATCCTGCTGCCATATATAATGTGGAATTATGATCAGCTGCCACGAGCGAACAGCCTGAATCTCGGTGTCATAAATCAAATCAGCATCAGGGACTTCAAAGTCCTGACTCAGCGGGAGCAAAAGAACAGTCCTGCAAACTTTCACAAATTGAACCCTATCAATAAAAAATAAAAAAAGCTGTTTACAGACAATGCCAATGCTATTATCATATACATCCACAAATTCATTTCACTATAAAAAGGCTGAGTCAGCACCACCAGTATTTCACATGGTCCCAACAATACACAGAGACTATAAATATGAAACTAGGTTGGTGGCCCAGCAGGTCACAGTCACTGTGGTCTGAAGAGGCTGTCAACTTGCCAGTTATCCCATTGAGCTGCCTGCTGCTCCACTGCAAGCAGGAGACACAGCAGCCTCACACATTACCACAAATGTAAAGCATGTGTTCAGTGTGGAGGGCAGCAATAGTGTTTGATAATACTGCCATTTACAGACTACAGCTACAAATTAAAAGGAAAAACCTGAATAAACGAGTGGAGGAACATAACAATGCAGATGCTGCTAGAAGAGGTAACAGGGTGGTTTGAGGAGTAAATGATGTGAAGCATATGCTGCGGCCTTCGCAGTCAACCAGATGTCAACTCGGTTTTAACACCAAAGGCAGATTTTGGGCCGACATATTCTACAGGACTCCCCACCCATCATCAAAACACCATATAAAGAGAATATATTTTGGAAATATGGTTTTCATCAGTCCAGCAGAGTTCAGAGACTTGGAGAAAATTATACCAGGGAGCATTGAAGCTGTTCTGCCTTTACTAGCAGCAAGCTGAACACACAAATGTTCAAGACAGAGAGGTTGGCCTTTAATGTTTTAATGGAAGCAGGTGTACAAATGTAAAACTATTTAGGCTATTGAAAGTGGGTGTAATTATAGTGCTTAAAAAGATCCAACACAATAACCGAGAATCAACTGTCTTAGTAAGTTAAACCAAACTGGTCGATTAACCAATTACTCTGTCAACAGAAGATTAAATGGCAATCTTTTCAAACAATGCTAAGAAATCATAAGTCCCACTTCACAAACACAATAGTTAATTTAATAAAGAGAAATAAGATACATAACAACAGTAGCCCAACATTATCCACACAGCTTTGGCAGCATGAAACTGAAACTTATTTAACAAACTGAAATTACATACATAAAATACAACATCATAAAATAACTACTGTAAATCCCGTCGCTTCAGATAATGGTCCAACAGGGGAATTTGTAGTGTTGATAAAAGATGCCTGTTAGTATTTGCTGGACATCTGACAGAAAAGTGGCAGTCAAACTACCAGCTGCTATCGCAACAGAAACCAACGGCTGGAGGCAGAACAAAAGCTATTCTAGAGTCTCAAGGAGCTCAAACAACTTACTAAAAGACACTTTTGAGTTTGTTTCCCCTTTAATTTGTCACACATCAGTATGGAACCAGTTTCTTTTTCCATTTGGTTCATCACTTTTCTACAATCTCAGTCCTATCTTTTACAGAGTCGCTGAGGAAGTAACTGGCACACACTGTTAAAATATTAAAACGCAACAGCATCAAAAGCGAACCAAACCCTTAAAAACCAGCCCAGTGTTGCCAATGTAGCGACTGTATGTGGCTACTTATGAAAGGATTTAATGATTATATGTAAAAGAGATCCAAGAGACTTATCCAAATTATAGCTGCAACTAATTATTATTTTCTGTTGATTATGAATAATTATTTGTCTTGCAGGACCTTTTTGTAAAGGATTGTTTTTAGAGTAATTACATAGCCTACAAAAATGTAAAACAAAAATTGGAAAAATGACCATTTACATTAACATTCACATTTTAGATACTGTCAAACCTGTCTTATGGAATTATTGCTTAAAATAAAATACTGAAATTATGAATCAATTATCAAAATAGTTGTGAATTTATTTTCTGTGGATGAACTAATCATTTGCAAGGTTGTTGACAATTTCAAGAACCCTTTAATGACTTTAAGAAAAAGCCGCCTAGCAACAAAGCCAGTGACCTTTATACGTTTCCTTGAAGAGAGTCATTAATATTGCAATCCTTTTACTTGTTCTGGTTTCATTTATGGACAAATTTAGGCTTTTGTTCATTTGTATTTCCCCAAAATTAACAATAGGTTAAAGCAGCGAGAGTCCACTGCTTTCCATTTTTAGCCATGTCTCTGTGGATGTCAATGTCAGCGTCTCCGTCTGTCGGTCCACTGCTTTGGTTTGAGATCAAAGCTGCTGTGTCACTAAGAAGTGTAACTCTGAATGTGACCGACTTTCAAACGGGACTTCTAAGTTCACGCCACTGCTGTACAAGCCGAAGACAATTAAATCACTAATATAAACCAGACGTATGATTTTGTGGATTAATTAAAGGACTTACTGTCCTTGCATGAGTGAACTGAGCACTTAGAAGGGTGTTCACACAGACACATTCATCCGTGTTACAGTTTGCTATGCACACAAGCCCCAATCCCCAAAGCATGCACACATACACACAGGCTGGGACCCAGTATCAAAGACTGGCAGCATCACCTGGTGCTGCAATTTGTCTATGTTTAGTTGGTAGGCCTTAGCTAAATGTATACGGGAAACAGCATTCCTGCCTTAAAACCACGGATTAGCATTGTCTGCAGCTATTATCCTAATCAGACCAAGGGGGCCCTGCAGTCTGGGACAGGGCATCTCTCCAGCATCGCTCTCTCAGTAGCCAAAGAAAATATCAGAACATTATCTACAGTAACAAGATAAACTGTTTGGCTATGACTGCTAGAAGGTTGCTTCAGCGTGGAAAGAAATAAGTGTAACCTGAACTTTCCGTACATAGAGTGGCTATTTGTCAGGATGTACGAGAGCTTTAAATAGTTGGAGAGAGAAAAAACGATTAACAACTGAGTGAAAGTCAATAGGGATGCTGTTTATCCCACGCTGGCACACCGAAAGATTCACACACATTATTATAAAAGAAGCAGAGAGCAGTGATCTGTCAACACAACACGAGCATCACAATCACTGTTACCCTGTGACCACCCCCTCTCATAGTGTCTGTGTAGGTGTGTAGGTGTGTGTGTGTGTGTGTGTGTGTGTGTGTGTGTGTGTGTGTGTGTGTGTGTGTGTGTGTGTGTTTCTATTTAAGTCTCCTTGTGAAAGAGAGGAGGGACAAAGGGGAGCAGGAGATAAATATTCTAGTGTGTTCTTCTCTCCATCACTTTGTGTCTGTCTGTATCCACAGTATCAACGCAGAAAGGTAAGGCCATTAATTTTACTTTGGATTTGATTAATTAGATAAGATATTAAATAACAACACCGGTATTTGGATACAAAATAATCGAAACTCACAATGAAGTTGTTTTGTCTCACCAACAGTCCAAAACCTAAAGACAAATATTCACGTTTGATGTAATTTTTTAAATCACATGTCTAAATCACAGTTAATTTTGTATAACATCACATTATCACAAGTAATTCAACTGTAGAACCATGAATAGACAATATGGATAAAATCTTCCATCAAAAGTATTATATATTATATATTGATATATATTGTGATAATAGTGATAATAACTAATAATCAAACAGAAATGTCTCTTTTTGGCTAAACTAGTGAATTAAATATATACAATCAAGGTACAAAATATATATAAAAAGATAATATGGTCAAATCTAATGTTGAAATGACTAGTCGATCGACAGAAAACGAATCAGCAACTATTTTCATGATCAATTAATCAATAAAGTAATTTTCAAGCAAAAAAACAAAACAAAACCCAAAACCTAATTGCAGCCTTTAAATTTTGGGTAATATGCTGCTTTTCTTTTTCTTGTGTGGTAGTAAAGCTAATATCTTTATCATGAAATGTTGCTCAGACAAAAACAAGCTGTTTGATATCTTGTAGACCAAAATTGGCCATCAAACAAAAGGATATGATAAAAGAAAATATACGTCAACTTGGCATTCTTAATTCGGTCAGTACTGTTCTGAGAATTGGGGGCTCTGTCTATATTTGTGTCTTTATCCAGTGGAGAAGTGGGGGTGAAAGCAGGAAATGTTATCTATTTGGAATAGTTGCAATGTTGGGGCCTTGCATGCTTCTCCGTGTCTGCCAACACTTTGGTTTCTGGCAGATGAGTGCGTGCTATCAGCACTGGGAGGTGACGGGATGATTTGGTCCAGCAGACCTTTCTACAAACTATGACATAAAGTGCCCGATAACCAAAACAAAACAAAAAAGGTTGGCCATGTGAAAAGTCACATCCGTTCATAGTTTAAAATGTAATTCACAAATCATTGCCAAAGAATTATAAAACAAAGGTTTAACACTAGATTTAGACTTTAACAGATCAATTTGTCTCTATATATACTGTAAATTTCCATTCTTGTAACACTATACGGTCGACTGTAATAGCATGTAACTATAGTGGAAAACACGGTTAAGACCCATTGGGGCACTCGACCCAAGTGGTCCCCATGGTTGAGCACTTCAGAGGCAAAAGGTTTTATTTTTGTCTTCCAGGGGGAATTGAAATAGCCAAGATGCCTGAGAAAGCGTAAGTGTATTGTGTTTCTGTTATTGTTTCCATTTCCAAATCAGAGTATCAGTTTCATACAGCCAATGGGATTCCTCTGTAGAAACACATACATGAAATGTAAAATAGCAACTATAAGAGACAATTCATTGTTTTTTTTTTCCTTATCTGCAACTGAATGCTAATGCTTCATTTCCATGTCTTTTGTGTCCTCTCTTTATTTTCTACCCACAGACCGGAGGTAAGACGTCTAATAATTTATCATACCCGTATTATCATCGGGAAACTGAAATGTCACACTAAGAAAAAATTCTTCTTTTTGCAGAGAAAATCTAAAATCTCAGCCTCTCGCAAGCTCATGTTGAAGGTGAGTCCTCAGTTCCATTTGCATAGACTGGATTGTCAGCCAGAAAGATAGTTAAACAAACGGTTAAATGTACCTTGTGTGTGTGGTATTTCAGAGCTTGATGGTCGCCATGGCCAAGGAGGGGCTGGAGCAGGAGCTGGAAGAAAAAGAGGAACAGAAGTCCAAATACCTGGAAGAAAAATCTCCTCCTATACAGACCAGTGGCATGTCCTTGGTAGAGCTAAAGGTGTCATTTTACATTTACCACAGACGGTCATACTAAACCTAAAACTCTTTATTTATTCTCATTGAAATAATGTTGCTAAATTTCACTAAAATTGTGATCAAATTAACATGAAATTCCTCTCATTTTCTACACAGACGTTATGTGAAGAGCTGCATGCCAAAATAGACGTGGTGGACGAGGAGCGGTACGATATTGAAGCCAAAGTCTCGCACAACAACAGAGAGGTAATTGAACACTAGTTGAAAAAGATGACAATGAACATCATTAATCATTTCAACATCAACAACAAAGAGATAACGCACGTCTCGAAGCTGCAACACTACACTGATGAAATCCAACAAGTACAGTGTGTTTGGATTACCTTTAAATTAACAGATTATACAATAGGGCCCTTAATATTGTTGGTGACAAATGACCCAAATTAACTTCCTCTCCACTGTCTTCACAGATCAAAGACCTGAACATCAAGGTACTGGACCTGCGAGGGAAGTTCAAGAGACCCAACCTGAGAAGGGTGAGGGTCTCTGCTGATGCCATCCTGCGCTCACTGCTGGGCTCCAAACACAAGGTCTCTTTGGATCTGCGGGCTAATCTTAAATCAGTCAAGAAGGAGGACACAGAAAAGGTGGGTTCGGGGAAAAATAAAAAATAAATAAGCTAATGAGATGCTTTTGGCCGCAAGACAATGACACAGTCCTGATTTATTCCCACACAAGGTGCAGCTGTGACAGATTGTCTCCATGGTGACAATTTATTTAAGCCTTTGGCTGATGTCTACACCGGGGGTGACTGCCAAAGTGTGAAACTGATTAATCAGCTTTCTTAGCCGGCCAAAAGTAAAAGAAACCACTGGTGCAAGGGACAAGATATTAGATTATGTTTAAAAAAGACTCCCAAATACCAATAGTGATTCTGCTTTATAGAGCTGGCTGAAAATATCAACATCTGATGGAATCATTTTAGACATACACACACAAATTGCATACATTTAAATGTATTCGTACCTCTGTGATTTCTTCTCTGCAGGAGAAGACGGCGGAGGTGAGTGATTGGAGGAAGAATGTGGAAGCCATGTCGGGCATGGAGGGCCGCAAGAAGATGTTTGATGCAGCAGCGGGCCCCAACCAGTAAATGGATGCTATTAAAGAAAAGGCAGGCTTTTTATGATACGTCCAATACCTTCACTTAACAGCACTGAACATACAGAAACTCTCCAGTACTTCACATGGTCACAGAGGTTATCTAATCTGTACAGTCCCCACATTTCTGTGTGTTTTGTTTCATTATCACTGAAATAAACACAGCATATGCAGTCTCTTTTTTGTGTCTTTGTTTTTTTTTGAAAGAAGGAACATTTTGTATTCACACACACATCAATCAGCTGTTCGGGTGTAATGTCAGTGGATTTAGGATATTGTTTTCATGGACGTGTAGTTTAGTGGACCAAAAATACAGCTTTATTTTGGGGGGGGGTTCAAGATCTAATCAAAGTCAGATGACTCAAAAGTCGCAGTCAGTGGAATAACATGCATCATGATGACCCAATATTCACCAAAATACAAGACATAATCAGCAACAACTGAGGCTATAATTCAAAATGATTGAAATCAACAGCATGGAAACTAAAAATGCCTCCACCACACCCAAAAACACACAAAGGCTAAGCTCATAGTGCAAAGAATGAATTCACAATTACTACCAATGAGGAAGACAGAGAGCAGCAGAGGATAACAACAGCAGGAGAGACACTGAAGACAGACAGACCAGCTTGCAGCAGTATATACCTGCTGCATGGTGAAGGGAAGCAGTGATACCTGCATCCCTGCGGGGAATGAAGCAGGAAGGAAACTCCTGCGTGAAGCTCTCTCTGTGGCAGATAGAGTTATTATCTCCACAAATCCTTCCTGAAAACAACATGACGGGACTGTTGGGAACTTAGCTTCGTCCTGAAACGCTAAATGTTCAATGGGCAGGGCATCAAACAGTTAAACAGACCGCTTCACTGTGAAGGGTGTGTTTGATTTGTTCTACAACGAGCCGAGCATGTATCATTATCTCTTATAGTTTACTACTGAATTTAAATGATTAATACAGAGCTAAGAACTAAGAAACAACAAACAAATTAATATATAGAAATATCAATATTGATAGAATGAATTAAGTTGGGTGGGGTTCAGGATGAATTTGAACACATCCCCAGTATTTAACATCCTAGCTACAACCCTGTATATTCCTATTTAGGTTTTAAATAAATGCAATGTTTAAATTACAACAAAACTTTCTCATTTGATACAGTCCTTCCCAGAGGCCCAAATGAATTATGTTTATATCTATAAAATATAACTATAATTAAGTTCTTTTTAGTCCTCTCAACAGACCAAAACCCAGAAATGTGCAATATAATATAAAAAAATGCTCACGTTTGATAAGATGTAACCAGCAAATGATTAAAACAATTATCAAAATAGTTGATAATTTAATTTTAACTATTCATTTCTGTCCATCCAGTGGTTGATTCAGCTTACTGTTTCAGCTCTAGTATAGAATAATTGAGTGTAACTATCATGCCTCTACAACAATTATTAATTATTATTCTAAATTAATACTTTCGAATCTGATCCTGAATACAGAAAGATCCCCAGAGATGACCTACACAGAGTACATAAATATACTATCAATAGTACAAACACAAGCTTTGGGTGCATCTAATCCAGTTCCATTTCCTGCCACAAGGTGGCAGTATTAGCTCATGGTCAGTTTACTGAGAAAGATTTCCAACCAACAGGTTTCCGCCTAAAGATAAAAAACAGCTATAAACAACACAGTGCTTATTGAGAAAGGAGCATAATAAAGGAATCTATTATTGATTCTGAGTTGAATGAGGGACTGGTGCCATCTCAGGGTTAAACAGTATTAGGAAACCTAAGTGCTGTCTGTTGTTTGTTTTAGTTCACTCAGGTGCCAGATGGGTGGGGTTTGCAACGATACAATCAGGAGGAGAAAGTTTATGCAACCAAACTATAGTACTGCAGGCTGTCTGACTTCATAACGAAGACTTACAGATTGTGTTGCGTCCCCTCTCAATGGATATTAAAGTAACACAAAGTTTAAACATTCAAACACGAAAGTTTTATTATGGGATTCAATCTAACTTCTATCATAAAATTGTATACATTTCCTGCCTATGAATGGCCTCTCTGTGGAGTATTTTTATGTTTGTGCCATTGTTCAGTGAGCTCACTGATTCGAATAATCTGTTCTGTGCATCTGTCAGCCAGATGATATCTAGTTTTTCATCCTGTAAAAGAAAAGATGTGCCAAACTGCTGATTTATAAATCTAGAAAATAAAAATAAAAATGTATCTGGGTTATGAACTCTCTCCTCCTAACATGCATCAAAGAGGACTCCTTATGTTCAAACACTGCAGGCTTTGTGGAGCAAAACAAACCAAAAACATGTCAGTTTTGTCATGCATGTAAACAACTGCAGGACAAAACACAGCTCAAATGTTTAAGACAAAATTTGTTTAAAAAGAAAAACCCACAAAGAGGTGACAAAAAAACACAACACTTTCTGTGTATTCTCAATGTACAAGATGAACTTTAGCTCAGACAATATTTACCCCAAAACAAGACTTTTGACTTCAAATTGAACTCAGATAGAAATAGAAACAAGAGAAACAACTGTCTACTAACTAGTGCAAATTTAATGTCTGCAGGTATACTCTGTAGCATCACTGAGCCGATCAGGGAATTACATCTACATTAAACCATCCAAAGCACACAATACATTACAATGTACAGGGTCTGACAAAGAACATCGATTATTCTGACTATACCCGGACACACACACACACACACACACACACACACACACACACACACACACACACACACACACACACACATATATACATACAACTTGTAATATTTAGCACTATAAAGTCTGTATTAAGATAATTATTATTGCTTTTGTTTTGTTTTTTGAATAGTTTCTAAATGTTTCAGAAAATAAAAATGAATGTACAAATGCCAAATTTCTACAATCCTGTAGCTTCGCTATTTGCTATTCACTTATTAATATTCTAATAAAGCTGTTAAGCGCCAAAGAGCGCCCGAGAGCTAAATTTATCACTGTGGTGGAGTTGGCAATATAGTAAATCTCCAGTGCATAGCAATGCACTGCTGCCAATAGATCAGTATTTTATCATATGAACTCCAGCTGTCTGGTCTAGTATCTAATAAACAAAATCGAGGATTTAGGTATATATCTTGATACATGCACAAGGATGAAGTATTAACAACAGATTTCTGAGGACTTTACCTGAAAAACTGATTTGACAGAAAAATCAGTCAAGTCTTATTTAACGCAATTAAATCCTTCAGTATAGCAATAATTAAGAAACGTATTAAAACACAATAGAATTTTTTACTGGGACTATTGACTGGTCTCAATTATGTAAAAACAATAAGAAAATAGGTTTAAATGGAAAATACTTAAGAGATCTGAAACAAACGTATCACTGACTTGCATTTAGCCACTGAAGACTTGCCTGATGTGACTTGACTTTGATTAGCCCGCATGGACTTAGTTTGGGATTTGAGTTGAATTTATCTCGGCTATCTTGAGACTTGAACTTTCCCAAGAAGACTTCCAAACAGCGTCAACAAATCTGTAAACAGAACCAGAGTTGAGGTGAAAGGGAGAACTCCATTCAACAAGCCCCACAAACAGAGTTACATTTTGGCTTCGGTTCACAGGAGACATCTGTTGAATCAGAGTCCCGACTGTGTGGTCAGATTCAAAATTAACAGCAAACACTGGGAGTATCAAAAGACTTGGCATGGCCACAAAGGGTGTTGTTGATAACACGTTATTGCATGTGAGGACTGAGGGCAAGATTAAAGGCGAGGTGTAGGAGACGGTACTGGGAGGTGAAGGGAGTGAGTTTTATTGTACTAATTTCGTTGGCAACCTGCTATGGGAATAATGCTCAGTGATTTTATTGTATAACACACCCAGTTTAGGGAATACATGTCTGTTATACAGTCAAATATGTGTGATAAATGTGGTGTTGACCAGCAGAATCACAACGAGTAGTAACAGTAAATGACGTGAGCTTGAGCCGTCTCTTTGTGTATTTGTGTGCACACAGGTGTGGCTCTACAAGGATTATTTCCAACATTCTTCACGTCTACCAGACCTGAGATACTGAAACCTTTTGGGGGCAATAATCCCGTGTTGTTCGGGTCTTGGTTTTGCTGTGTAAAAATAGACAATGCAAGTCCACAGAGAATGCATGTTTTCCCATTCTGGTTAATGCCATCTGCCATCTGTTTGCAGGTATGTGCCCACCCATTGTAGATATGGGCAGCTAGCCGCCATGTGATCCACTACTGGGTTTAAAAGCTTATGGCCCACAGAGAAGGGCACAGAATACAATTCCCCATTGAGCACAGTCTGAAGCGCACATCACACTCTCTAGGTAAGTCTGTGTGCTCCTCTTATATGTTTTTAAACAGAGCTTGTTTTATTTGATCAAATGTATTATCCCATGTTGCATGCATTTTAAGACATGTGGGTTCAATTTGGCTTTATTATATAACTTCAGGCAGTTGTTGATGCAATGTCACTCACTACGCACCCTTGAATTGGACTTACTCGTGCAGGTGTTGCATCCTGACCATGTCAGACACAGAAGAAGGCACATATGAGTAAGTGAATTGATCATTTCTGTAGGAGGGAGAGTGGTGATAACAAAGTGATGCCAGCACAGATGAAACCAATTGTAACAAAATGTTTGTGGTGTGTTTTCTTCTTCTTTCAGGGGACAACGTAAGTCAAGTTTGTCAGTTCACACATTTGGGCAACATGAGTCTTGTGAGTGTAGTTACTAGGCTGCAGATTCAGACAGCTGCTTGTTGTCAGTGAGAAATTCTGCCATTTGGCTGGACGCTACACTGCTGCTTCACAAAATCAAAAATAATGCATGAATATCGTGACTATGCTGCATGCATACGTATCAGAAATGCTTATATGTTATAGCTGATCTCTGCTTTTTACTCCTCTCTGTGTGTACGGTGTGAAAAGAAGACGAGGATATTGTTGGTATGTACTTTAATACAAACAATATCTATAAAACAATGTAAAACTTTGCTTCCTAATGCATCAATTCCAAGGCTGCTTGTATTTTTGCTGACGCTTTGTTACCTGCTTTACACACTTGAGCCTTGCATTTAAACATTCTAAGTTACTTAACACGCCGCATCTGCTAAGCTGCTGGCTTCACCACACAGCATACTGTATTTTTGGCATGTTGGTGCCACTGTAGAGGCAGCTGCTGTCCTTGAGCTCTACTACAAGAGTGACCTCTGTACTCTTAGTCAGTCCTGTCTGTCTGAGGCTAGGATAGTTCACCTTCTATGAACATCCCAGTGGATCTGTCCTTCCAACTCAAATGGTGCAATGGGTCGCCATCAAAGAGATAAAGGGTCGTACCCCTATTTCTGTCTGCTTTGGGAGGCTGTCTATGGGGGCCTATGTACAGCCCTGTTGTCCAAGAGACTAAGCAGCACCTGTCTCCCTCTATGTGGAGTAGAGTCGCTGATTGAGAGCAATGTAGGTCAGCTTATGTTCTCAATAGAGTACCTTAGGGAAGATAGCGGGAAAGGCACAATGCCCACTTTCATTTTTATGCCTGTTGGAGGTCCTCTAAATGCAGGTCGGCTTACGTTCTTTGCAGAGGAAAGAGGTTGAGTTACCCTCTGTGGCTGAAGGGACTCCGGCTAAAGACTTGGCATCACTGTTTCCCACAGAGGCCCAATGAGCAGTGTTGGAAACAAAAAACACAGAACCTTATGCACTTTGCAAACAGTGCAAACGCTAAATGCAACTGTGGGAAAGCTGAATTAGTATACCTTATTTATTTTGATTTGATTTATTTTTTGATAAACCCTTTTTTTTAAGGATATCATTACAGCTTAATTCAAAAAATGAACATTTAAATGCAAGAGTTTTATTTTTGCCAATAATGCCATACTTAGGGAATCGGTAGACAAAATATTCCCTAAGTAAAGGTTATAAAGGAAATGGCAGGTGGAATAATATGAGAAAATGTACAAGTAAGAATATAAGAAAATGCTTTGTACAAATATATTCTTTATAAAACATTGAGTCGGTTTTAAAGGCACTGTCAAAAATACATGTAGATTGCAAAAGTAATGTTGATCTAAAAGCTGTGTGAGATTGTCATTGTTTGCTTGCTTTGCACAGAAGAGGAGGAAGAGGTAGAAGAGGTAGCAGAGGAGGAGGAGGAGGAGGAGGAGGAGGAAGTGGAAGAGGTGGTAGAGGAGGAGGAGGAAGGTAGTAGCGCTTATGCTAATATTTATTTGCATGTAAGATCTTTTTTTTAACACACTGTTGGCAACAATGTAGAGTCATTGTTAGAGTACAGGTACAAAATAAACATATCTATGTCCAAGTAAAACCACATTTCTCCAAAACCTCAACTGAATGTTTTTCATTTAGGTTTATCAACCCAACCAACTAACAGGATCAGGGATAACTAAGAATTGCATTTATGTGGCCAAGAGGAATGTTGCCTTTCTCTGTGTCTTATGTTATATAATATTACTCGGACACCCTTTAACGGATGAACCATAAGTGAATAATAGAATGACTCACTAATGACTAAAAGAAGAAAGCATTTACCATGACAGGTTTACATTCTCTTTGTGTCTGGGCAGGGACCCAGGTGTGGAGACAACATATGTTATCTGTGATGATAATCTAAAGTCTTCTCTAAACACGCCCGCATACCTGTCCATCAGCACTGACAGGAGAGGGTCAGCTATCTCACCTCAGTCAGCTGCTATGTGTCTGAAAAAACACATATTTACACATTTAATACCTTGGACATTTAAGAGTAAAAAACTAAACTTTAATACATCTTTTTCTCCAAAACATTTCTAAGTCTCTAAGATTCAGGCTATTAGTTATGAAAAACCCTTGAAATCTGTCAATACTAAGATACTGGCCAACAATAATGGCTTAAATCAACCAGATATATCTTTTAAAGACTTAATCTTACTGAGAATCACCTGTAACACCAGTGTTATCATTATCTACCTGTCAGTCTCTGCACCTCTCAATGTTGACTTTACACTGACCCTCTCATCTTTCAGCAGATGCAGAGGAAAATGAAGGAGGTATGGACAGGTTGTTTATGAAGCCCAGAGGCTATGTGTGTGATGGAGGAAAAATCTTGCGCTGTGGGTTTATTTTCTTAATAAGTCACCTCATAAACTAAGGCTTTTACTTTTCTCTTCTTTTTTATTATTGATTCACAGAAGAGGCAAAGCCCAAGGGAAAGTAAGAGCTGAGAAAAATATTAAAATTTAAACACAGTTCTCCATGAGGGACATACTAAGATGAAACGATTTTAATTTTTCCACCCTCCTTAGGCCTGGTTTTCTGCCCGGCTTGGCAGCTCCCAAAATCCCAGAGGGAGAAAGAGTGGACTTTGACGTGAGTTCATCTCGTTACTGATCAAAGTTACAACTGCAAACTGTCTTTTGCTCAGATTGTTGGATAACTTCTCAGCTCACACAGTTCCAATTATCGCTATAATTTCAGGACATTCATAGAAAACGAATGGAAAAGGACCTGACGGAGCTCCACACTCTGATTGAAGCTCACTTTGAGAAGCGTAAGAAGGAAGAAGAAGAGCTTCTTAGCCTCACAGATCGCATTGTATGTTCATATCTTATTCTTCTACTGCAATATATCTTGTGTTTAATCTTCAATATTACCCAATTGTAAAATTAAGTGTCCTCTTTTGACATCTTGAGTTTACAGGATATGTTCTTTTTCGTTCCTCAGGAGAAACGCAGGTCAGAAAGAGCAGAGCAGATAAAGATCAGGGCAGAGAGAGAAAAAGAACGGCAGAACAAAGTGGCTGTACGTATACTTCAACAAATAACACACAGATCATGACTGTGAGACAGAGATGTCTATCTATCTATTAATGTGTCACTCATCAAAATACTGCAGATGAATGATTAAAGTTACCATATTCTTTACCACCAGGAAGAGAAAGCCAGAAAAGAAGATGAAGAAGCAAAGAAGAAAGCAGACGATGATGCCAGGAAGAAGATGATTCTGTCCAACTTGAGTTTCACTGGATATAAGGTGATGAAATTCTTTATTTTTTACAATGTCATAGACTGATAACCACATAGTGTATAAGCACATCACCACATGTGTCCTCTTTCTGACCAGCAGACGCAGACTGGGCCAAAAAGACAGACAGAAAGAGAAAAGAAGAAGAAGATCCTAAATGACAGACGCAAAGAGTTAAATGTTGATCAAATGAGAGAGGACCAACTCAGGTAAAATATAACACAGCGACAAAAATGTTTCTTCTCTTCCAATTCATTCTAGATACCAATTCCATTATCAATTTGAGGTACAAAATAACCCAACCAATTGTTATTATTCATCATGTGAGCACAATGAAATGCTTCCTTGTCAATACTGATACAGGGAAAAAGCTAAGGAACTGTGGGAGTGGATTCGCCAGCTGGAGGCGGAGAAATATGAACTTCAGTATAAGCATGCAAACCAGAAGTATGAGGTCAGATATCATTCATAAATTCTTGTAGTGTCACCACAATCATGTACATGTACATCAACTTTGTGTCCTTTGAACAGATTCTAGGACGCAGGCCAAAATATAACAAACTGTGACAGATAGATTTATTAGAACTTACATACATACATATAATATGACAACCACTTTCTCCATTATCATATGTGGAACTCATAAATATAACCAAATATAACTTGGGCCTGTGCTTGATCACTTGTACAGATGTAGTTCTCTAGTAGAAGAAGTATAGAATGATTACAAAAAGAGAAGTTTTTAGACTATTTAGCCAAATTGTTTAAGGGATTAGTTTTAATACCTTTAATCATAAGCCCAAACTGATTTTTTCCTTTATAAATATTATATAAATATTAGAGATGTGCTATAGATGATAGTGATTATAGGTGATTATTATTATTTATTTTTGTTTTTTTTGGGGGCCTTTTTGTTGGCTTTATTGATGAGCTGTAGAGAGACAGGAAAGGTGGGTGTAGAGAGAGGGGACGACACGGGCCACTGCAGCAACTCTGTATATGGGTCGCCAGCTCTACCGACTGAGCTAACCGGGTGCCTATAGGTGATTTAAATATATTGTAACTACCACAATCAAATTGCAGGAATTCCACAAGAATCAAAGGTTGAGACTGCAGTTAGCAAAGCTAGTAGTAGCCCTTTAGCAGGATTAGCTCGATTGTGTTATCCTACTTTTGTTCTCCGTCATGATGGAGTTCAGCTACTGCCTCATTTATGTGGGATCCCAAACTGTTTTACTAACATTGTCATCACATCATTTATTTTTCAATTATAGTGAACAGGTTGAAAACAGTACACTTGCAAAAAATTTTACATAACATTTTTGACCAGAGTCTGTCCCTGACTTACTGAGTGAGTGATGAAGTTCCACCATTGATGTTGGAGTTTTCCCATTGGCTGTCGATCTTTTAAAATGAATGGGATGGACAGCTCTTAATTACATCTTCAGGAGCATAATGAGCATATGGTCCAGCCATATAATAGGTTTCAACTTAGTCTTGTTTAAATGGTAAAAATCCTGATTCAGTTTTGCCCAAATATTTAGTGCATTCTGGTTTTATAGAACAGATGTCAATGAATGTTTAAACAATATATTTTCCACAGGTCACCGTGCTGAGAAACCGAGTCAGTGATCATCAGAAAATGTAAGTCTATTGAGTTATAGATGCTCATATCATGGTACATTTTATTTATTGCCTTCTAACACATGTACAGCATGAAAGCCCGAAGTAGTGTTGCAGTGAATCAAAGCATTTCTTTTGTCATAAGTGTGATATAATATCACTTCTATGTATATCACCTCTGTAATCTGACAGCTAATGTTTATCTATGTAAAAAAAAAGTTTTGGAAAACAGTGTAGACTTTTCATCAAGACAGGTAGAAATACAAAATCATACAAAAAGGCAGATACCATTCAAGTAAGCAATAATCACTTCCCTGTGTAGATGACTGCCCTGATGTTCACCTAGTGACCTCCTCATGTTTCCACCTCCTCCTGTTTCAGCTTCCACTCAGCTTATCTCACTGCAGTGGTCTCTATTTGTTTCCAGCTGCGTCAGTAACATTAGTACATCCAGAGTGCACCCAGCCAAACAGGACTGCACAAACAAAAAGGGTGATGAGAGGTGTTGTGACGAAGGGCAGGCTGGGGTATTTGAACAACATACATGCACTCAGTCTCGGAGGAGAGATGGACTGTAATGGAGGTTCAACAGCTGAGAGATCTCATAACTGCTATGTGATATCATCTTGTTAATGTAGCTCTCAATAACACGGTGACCGGCCCCTGCTGCCATCCAGCTCAATGTTAATCCTTCCTCCTGATCTCATTTAGGCTGTGCTGCAATGGGGGTTCAGGCTCTAAGCAAAACTGTAACAAGGTAATGATAGTGGTTTTCCTGCAGAATATGACATTGACTTTGCAAACCAGGAATATTGTAATACCACCACTGATCATTTCAAACAAGTAGGCTATCCCTTTGAAATAGAGCCTTGATTTATATTGTGCTTTTTTTCAGGTAAACAGCCAACATCACTATGTTGTCCAACATATAACAAACCATAATTTGTCAAAGATATACCTGAAATTGTTCGATTCATGTATTCATGGGTAAGGTACCTCGCTAGCAACAGCAGATAAAGATAGCAGTAAACTATTTGTTTGCAAATCCCCTTCCAACTGCAGACAGCTATGAAAAGCTTTCAGTAGCTACAGTATCTGAGGCCAGCAGCAGCTTTCTGTAGAGCGGTGGTTCCTAACCTGAGGGTCGGGACCACTGGGTGTGTCACAAGATGATTATTTGGGAGGAAAATAAGAACAAACTTAATTCTGAAATACAATATGTTTATTTTTTCTCTAATCTTTGCTTTTTTCTTTTCAAAATCCTTCTCTTCCACCTTGTCGTGCTGCTAAAATTATTGAATATAATTCTGAAAATTCTTATCTGAGAGAGCAATTTACTGACATGCACCCTGTCATGATAGATCACAACAAGTTGATTGCTTTGTGGTAAGGGGTCATAAGCAAGAAAGATTTGGGTTCACAGCTGATGAACTGCATTGGGCTCGAGAGATTCTTACAAAAAAAAGTTTCAGGATGACTGAGCTAACAGATGGTCTGCAGTGATTCCATAAGGGTGCAAGAAAACACCCAATGACCAAATTCTGAAATATGAACATATATTGCTTCAAATAAAAGATTAATGGCAATAGATCCAAATGTTACGACTGTTAAGTCCTGAAGGGCTGTTGTGGTTTTATGCAATGGTGAGCTTTGTCTGAAATGTCCTTTCTGTGCAAGAGTTTGCCTACAATAATTTACATTTCAAATGCAGCTGCAGAGAGTGACTTATATTTGCATCAGTAGAATACATTATTTCTGAAGCTGGAACAAGATCGGTAAGAGCATCAGCCATGTCGCTCAAAATAGAGGAATCCACACAGACATGCTTTTCTCATGGAAGGGAGTATACGAGATTGAGAGTGCATTACAGGTTTGTTAGGTTGTATGCTGGCTTATGTGACAGATCTCACTCTTCACTTTATTCTCAGTACAAAGGGTGCCAGAAGCAAGCGTGGCCTGAGGAAGTAACATCTGACATCAACCGGAGGAATACTGGCAACATTTGACTTCCATGGAATCATTGAGAGTAACATCGACCACATAATAATGTTTTCTCAATACTGAGCATGCAAGAACAAATTACAATACCGAAAATATCATAAGATGCTCTAAAATGTGTTATCAGTTAAATGAAGTGCGTGCAGGAAAGTAGCAGTATAGTGGTCGGTCTCTGATTGCTGACTGATCAGGTGATGTGTTGCAGCTTGTGTTTATTTGACAAGAGGTGTGTAAACCCATTTTAAGACTTTAGCGTCTGAAAGGACAGAAAGATAATAAGATTATTCTATAGGTCCTATAATTCATTTTTTAACAGTACTAAAAGTGAAGTTGTGTATACACGTTTGTGGTTGGAATTAATTAAAAATACTTTATTTAACAAAACAAAAATAGCATCCTCTTTCTTTTAAGTCTTTGGTTCCTTCACTTGTGGGAACCTTTAAGATGAGCACTAACGCTGTTGTAATTGTAACACAGTCACACCTCCTTTAATGAGGTTACAGTGCTTGTCAAAACCAAAGTGTAGTTTACTTTGGCCAGCCAGGTGTTATGATTGGCAAATTCAGTTATTTTCATTTTGTATTGACAGTTTTTTTTTATATTAAACATCCAGGCAGGCTTGACATGTGCCAACAGTACTACAAATACATCAATCTATCAGTGTAAAATGAAATGAGTATGAAAAAAGATTAGCTGTGCCCAAGGCCTAATAAATCTAAATATTGCTCCCAGAATTCCCTCATGACTGTTGGGTGTATTATGTATTATGTGATTTGAACAAAAGTTCAATTCGGGTCAACAATTCCATAATGCAACAGCAGGGTGCAACAACTGCTGCAGTGTCTGCTCTTAACAGTTTGCTGTTAAGCTTTAGAAAATAAATTGTAAGGGTGGAGTAAACATAATTGGAAAGATGCTCATCTGCCCAGAAGCATTTCAATGTGCGGCCAAAATCTAGAGGGGTGTGACAAGACATGAGTGTGGTTAGACAAAACTCACCAGTGACTATGACAAATGACTAATAATGAACTTAGGACTTAATTAATACTCAATACTACTAGAGGAGTAGATCTCTGTCAGCTTTATTGACAATTTTTGGAACAATACAAGTAGCCAATTCCACACACATACATATGAAAAAAGATGGATACACCACAAACACAAGTTGTCTTTACAAAATGTAAACACAGATCACTGCTTAAGACAAGATGTCACTCTTTTTATAGCAAACCTATCCTAACCTATAACTCTAACAGAAAATGTCCTCTTTTATCAATGTTCATTTTACATAAAATTATTTTTTACAATGTTGTAATGATATTAAAACAGCAATTTCAGGGCAAAATGAAATCTTAACCCTTATGTTATTATCTAGCAAAGCAAGCTCATGGCACCAGAAAGCACATTGCAGGCACAGATGCAGAAGTTGCATTAAAAGACAGCAGTTAAAATTGCAAAAGCAAATCAAATCTTGCAGTCTTGTTCCTAAAATGTTACATCTTGACTGTCACCTTTTTTCCAACAAAAGAAAAATAAACCTTGCAGCATATACAGGCCTAATCTGCAGTTTGTAGCTATTTATTGATGGAATGATTGGATACATATATGAGAAACTCTTTGTGAAATGAGAAAGGATGCTGCTCAGCCTCAATGCGTTTCCGTCCTGTGGATGTGCAGGAGACTTGCAGGTGAGTTACTTCGGTGAATGACATTCAGAGATCTGTTTAGGCTGTCGTGTTAATCGACAATTTGAACCGACTTGTGTGCTGCTGTGGTGACGTCATTCACAAATGAGGACTTACTCATCCCTTGCTGCAGGACAAATAGTTAAAGTTCAATCAGTGTTCCACCTCTGTAATTTCACTAAACACATGAGTGACACATTAACAGCTGTGATCTGCTCATGGGAATTTCTTGATAAAACACCTTGAGTTGAAATGTGCGCCTGCGTAAATACAATAATGCATCTAATCTGCTGTGGTATGTGTGCAAACACAGTCCTGCAAGTGTTTCCTCTAACCTATGCTACTAGTTTCAGCTGTATCACTTCAGTGTCTCATTCACATTCAATGGGCATTTCCTGACAACACTACCTAATCCTTCGACTTTTCTCCCTCTGTTTCTCACAAATACCTAAGAGAGGTGTGGACTTTAAGTGAAGGAAGGAAACAGAGAGGACACACCCAAACCCTGACAGATCTTGGCACTCAGGGTTAAGCCTCAACTCACCTTTTTCAGGAAGCTTTGCAAGTCTTTTTCTGACCACAGGTTGTAGAGAAGCAGGGCTGCAGCTTTTCTAGATTTGGGGAAATATCTTAATGGGGAGAAAAGGATTATTAAAGATCAGTTTAGACTTCTGGAAATCTAACATGCATGGCAAATATAAATTGCTTGTGAGTCATAGGTATTCCATATATCTTGAATAATAAGTACATGTAACCTTACTCGTTTTGGCTGAGATCATTCAGTGAGTTTATCAGATTGTTGTTTAACAGGCGCTTGCTCATATCAGGCTCCTTCATAAGCAGGTAGTTGGCGGTCTGGCAGGCCATGGCAAGTGTGTCATCAGACTCATTCCCTTCCTTGGTGCCTGCGCTCAAGACACTTAGCAGCTCCGGGAGGGCTTTACGAGCTTTAGTAGGAAGGCAAACAAAACCCACTGGCTATTTAACACAAGCAAACACTTGTAAAAATGAGTAAATTATTGTTTAAGATAATGGATTTCTAGGAAGGACACAAATCTGTCATCTACTGTGAAACAAAAAATATTGTAGAATCTAAAAACTAGGATTAGTAATTAATCATATTTATATTTAAAACAAACAGGTGACATGTTTGATAAAACAACATACTACAAGTATTGTCTTGCACCTGCATCTTACCTATGGCACTGTTCAGGTTTGAGTTCTTCGTCAGGTTTCCAACCAAAGCCGTTGCGTTCCTCTGCAGGTTCACTTTGTTTGACTTTAAAAGGGGACTGATAACTTGCAAGCCATTCAGTTTCTGCACAATGATCTGGCTCATTACACCAGAGACCTGTGAATAATCATGACTCAAGTTTGCTTGTAGAAAACAAATTTACAATGATAATTTAAAGTAAGTCTAAACTAGTCTCCATGAGCTACAACTGCACAGATATAAACCCAATGTCATTTTTATTTTCTTACAATGCCTTCATTTGTCGTGAGGTTCTGCAGCGCTCCACAACAGGCTTCCTGTGTTTCTTCTTGCTGGCTAGAGCCAAGCAACGACAGGTAACTCTGCAGAGTTTTGGAGTGGATCAGCCAACCTGCCCCATGAGGTTGTGGATCCTCAACAACTGGAAAGTCAAAGTGGCGCTGGACAAGAAAGAAAGCAGTTCATCCTCAACATGTAGCTGTTACAGCATTTACTTTCAAAGAAATGCAGAATTTCTTTTGAATTGTGTTTTTATAGGAAACACACAATAAATCTGAATTATTTGTAAAACACAGTGTGTCATGGTGCTGGATGCAAACATGAAACACATACAGTAATAGCCTGAAATGTGTTTTAACTTGGGCAAAGACTTAACAAAAAGTAAACTTCTAGGAATCAAAGCACAAGGTCTGTCACTCTGAGCCTTTGAAAAGATGGATTATAATTATAATTGCCATAATGCTCAGTAATGTTCAGTCTAAGTTATCCTGAATAGGAATAATGACAAGGCACAGATTGACAGCTACTGTCTACACAAACTGTACAAACAGATAAACAAGTATCTCTGATGTGCCGTCATTAATTAAATGTATCCCTTAGGCATTCGGTATGTGTGTTTGTCTCTGTTGTGCACCTTCCTCGTCTCACCTCGTGTTCTGGCGATTTGCTCTGTGGATTGAAGCAGCCGATGGGGCCGGTCTCGTCCTGGCTGTGGGTCCTCATGACAGTCTTGGCCAAAGCTGTGATCCTGCTGAACAGAGCCGGGGCCTCGGCCTCCAGCTGGAATGTCAGGTTGTGCAGGATGCACACGCAATTTTCTACAGACTGTTTCAACAAGGTAGAACAACACACAACAAAATGGAACATGTATGACTCAGAGTCTTAACAAGAAATTGATAAAAAAAAAACACAAATAAGGCAAACAGATGAACAAGTTGTCCATTGAATATTGTCAAACAAAGCAGTTATCCTGCTTGAGATGCCTAATAACAGTATTTAAATGATCTATAAAACCCTACTAAGTTGTACAGTACACTATAGTACACAGTTTTCTGTACATGACACAGCAGTGCCTTTTTCTGCAGTAGAACTGCAACAGCCAGCTACATAATAGCAAAGGCTGGTTGACTTCCAACCGCAGCTCATCGCTATAGTGACAGATGTTTTTTTTTTCTTTGTGTTCACGTTGCACATGAAGGTGTGACACATGTGCGTGTGAGTAAATATGAAAATGAGAGTGAAAGAAGTACATACAGGCCGAGATTGTGCAATAATTTTTTTTTTCTCTTGTTTACCTTATCATCCGGTTGTCCTGCTTCCACGCAGTTTTTCACATATTTGACCAAAGAGTCGATCAAACCTCGACATTTTCTCATCGCCTGTCGGTTGCTTTGCTTCGCACTGCTTAAGTTTCTGTTGAAAACAAAATATAAGATGTTAAACAATGTTTTGATACATTAAAGAGTATACGGACACTGGCATCAATATAAGAGATATTCTAACACATACAGGGTATTTTATGAACATCATAGGCACTGCTGTGAGTATGTAAATATAAGTACAGTATGTAAATATTATTGTTAATCAATTAATAAAGCTTGTCTCTCCTCGTCTTATTGGATATGAAATTCACTGTGCCTTAAACGTAAACAATATTAATCGTGTAAAATCAGGGAGATCACTAAAACTTCCCAGAATGATACAGAAAGTTATTTTACTTTTTTGAGCAAAAAATGTAATAAATAAATAAATAATAACACCCTATATGCACTGTCACTTCATTGAACTATTAATTTTTCCTGGTCACAGACTAAAATTTTTCTATAGTTATCTGAGAAAAATACGTGAAAAATCTAACATTGTATACTCCCTAAACATCACGCTCACCATATAGTTTATAAATTGATATATAATCAACTGTTGGCAGTAAGTTCAGAGTTTTTAATTTCTAAAAAACTTCCAAGTTTGCAACCGAAAATAGCTGTAGTAGACTTACCTTACATCCCCCCTCCCACACATTCAAATCCACGATGACTAATTCAGGCTTTTCAAACATGTCAATGAAGCGAACCAATCTTGCCTTATCACAAATCTTTCATATTCAAACTAAATAAATCTTTACAGGGAAACATTCTTAAAAGCATGCCAAGTTATACACAATTCCCTGGTACATGTTTGACATTTACAGCTGTCATGAACACATTTAATGTTTGTACCCATACAGTAGGAAATAAGATCCGAAGCATTATGAGAGCTAAAGCAAAGACACCGACATGATATCAAGTGCTCAGTTTAATTTTGTCCTTACCTTAGACATCCAGTGGTGTGAAAGAAGGCCTCAGGGTCACTGTTGGTCTGGTCAGATCCTGTTGTGTAAGGCAGGATCACGCGCTCCATTAAGACAGGCAGAGCGCTCTTCAGCAGGTCTGGCTTCAGGCTGTCTACAGAGGACAAATTCCACAGGAGACCTAGAAAAAGAATTAAAACCTCAGTTGTTTCAGCAGTACAGAAATAAACATTTACTCAGTGGCAATGATAAAAATATGAAAGTAAAAAAAACCACATTGATTTTATAGGTTTTAAGGTTTTTGTACATTTGACTATATTATTAAACGTTTAAATTACATGAAAAGCAGAGTGTTGGATAACAGAACTACAACTTGATTTTCCAGATGTTTATAATGTTCAAATGAAACCATAGTTTAAATATTTAACACATTTGCATCTATATCCACATTTTACCTACTCACTAGAACAGTAGCAAAGTAATTCTGGCAATTGCTTCAAATGCTACACTCACAAATAGCTTAGTGATTGACAGCAGGATCTAAACAGAATTATATTATACTACACACAAGTGGCTCTCTGTCTGACCTATTTACATGGATTGTTGTATGGTATGTATGTGCAGCGTTGCACATTTCAGAGATAACTCGTACCTGTCAGCTGTTTCTCTGTCTCTGCAGAGTCGGTGTCTTTGAGCAGAGCCACCGCCTCTGTGATGCCTCCACAGCGATGGATCTCTTCCTTGTTACTGTTGCTCTTAAAGGACAGGTTACGCAGGGCAGCCGAGGCTGTATGGCTGACTTGTAAACTGGGGCTTCGCAGCAGACCAACCAAAGGAGGGATCCCATTGAGTTTAAAAACCTACGAGATAAGAGGACTTTAGGAGTAAGCACAACTGAGGGACACAATAATTTACCACAATCCAAATGACAGTGATTTATTCCATATGAAGACTATATTTTCTAAGATGGATAACTTAAACTAAGTTAAATAATATTTAATTTTGAGAAATGGCAGGTAAAAAACAAGTGAGCAGTCCAGCTACAATACAAATTGGGGAAAGCCGGAAATTGCCCAGGGACATGAGACCAAAAAGTCCACCATTCCTGCACATGATCCTGATGATCATACCAATCCATGCATGAGGGACTCACAGGAAGTCTCAAATTTTATCACACAGATATCAGACCCACTGTTTATTGTTCCTTTTTTAATACCGTATCAGGGTTACTGCTGATGCACAGCAACCATTTATTATTAAAATAACTGCTGAAATATAAATCATAGTCTTGCATAATACATCACAGTTAGGGAACTTTCAAGTCTGAGCACACACATATAAGCTAATTCAAAGCAAAAAACAGTTCATTTAATTTATGTCATATTACACTATATTATTATAAATTTAGTCTATACTGTCTTCATGTGGTACATGTTCCTAAATAAAGTAGATTTTAACCAAACTGCCTAAAACAACTTGGGGACAGTTACAGGTTATGAGTAGTGTTTGGTTTGTGGATCTTTTGGAGGTATTGTTACGCAAAATAAAAATGGTGGGAGGTAAGGGTCTTCAATAGCAGCTGATACAACCTGGCGATTATCGGCAAGACCCAACCTTAACAATATTTCACTTCAAAATGAAAATTAATCACACAAAGTAAGTAGAAACACAAAAATGAAAAAAAATATATTATTATTATTATTATTATTATTTGAGTGTTGACTGCCCTGGGGGTCAGTAGTTCATTTTCATTTTGGAAGGATATATCTTATATCTTTCCTCCTCTCTGCCGTTTCTCACTGAATCTCATGTTACCATCAAATGGAAATTATAAGCATAACCACATAACAAGAAAAACCACCTCGTCTTTAGCCTTGTCGTCAATGAAAGTGTTGTGCTGTATGTAGGAAGCGCCACAGTGCTGATAAGTCTCATCACTGTTGGAAAGATACTCCACAGCCTCCTTCATAGTGATATCAGCAACTCCACTGTTGCCATTTGACCTGTAAAGAACAGAAATACAATCTAAATGCTATTTAAATACACTGAAAACATGAAAGAATAATTTGTTCATTGAAATCTTTTTCATAGAATTTGAAATAAAGATAGTTATTTTCCCACTAACCCCGAATCTCCTTTGCTCTTCGGAGTGCCCTCAGTAACAGAAGGCCCTGAAGATGTTTTGAACCCGTCAACCTGGCTGCACACAAACTGGGTGTTTGTTTTGGTCTGACTTGTACCATTGATAGTGTACCGAGGCTGAGGCTGAGGCTTAGGATGAGGCTGGGATGTAGTGCTCGTAATAAACTGACTAGTGGACCTTTGTGCCCTGTAGGTGCCCCTGTTGGAGGCGAGCCTCTGCGAAGGAAGGGAGCGTTTTGGCATCGAGCGCTGCTGGGCCAGATCAGGCTCACTGCGGCTGGTGTTTGTTCGACCAACTGCCATGGAGCCGACAGCAGCGTAACTCCTCTCATATTGATAGGCAGAAGCTGCTGTATTCCTCTTCACGGTGGATCCCTTAATGTGGTTTTTCTCTTGGCTGAGCTGCAGAGCCAAAGAATACATGTGTTTGTAATGAAAGATAATCGTGTCTTTTATTTCACCAGCAACTAAGCAAGGACACGTGAGTGTGTCAGTGACTGACATGGAGCTGGCAATGGCAAATCAAATTGTGAAAGATGGTTTTTTTGGTGTTCAGCCCTGTGGGTTGCTTATACGGATGACTGGTAGCCTCTGTGGGATGGGCTGGTAAACACATTTTTGCGTGACGAGACAGAAAGTCTCTTCAAGGATTAAGAAACTGGTTTTTGAGGCAGAAATGGGTAAAAAAAGTCAACTGAGGACAACACATTTTTCAACTCCTGTTCCTTATTATTGGTATCAGGCCTCCACAACATGGTGTATAGGAGTGCTGTACTAAACTGCAAAAGAAATTCATACAATGACTGGTGTTAGTTGTGTTATTTCTGCAACAATGATGCATCATTATTATTATTTGATTATTTGACTTTTTCACACTTTATTAGTCATTTGATTGATTAGTCAGTTAGCTGCTTGAAAGAAAGTTAGTCAGCAACTATTTTAATGATTGTTTTAGTTATTTTTCAAGCAAAAAGAAGATTGAAGAAAAAAAAGAAGAAAAAAAGATTTGCTACTATTCTTTGCCATATATGATAGTAAATTAAATATGTTTGAGTTTTGGATATTTAGTCGGTAAAAATGAGCACCATCATGGGCATTTTTCCCATTCATTTGTTATTTGCCAGACTAATCTACATACTACATTACTTGAAATACTTAAATACAAACTGTAAAAAAACAATGTGTAATTTGTGCAGAGTTGTAGAATCAAAACTCCTTTCAAGTTGTTCAAAACACAAAAAGGAGATACAATCCTCAACACTCTTCAACTACGTTCCTGCCTAGGACATCATCTTCTCTATGACGACACTGTGATGATTATACAGCCAGGAGAGTCACTCCTGCCAGTCAATGATGTAGTAAAAAAAATAAAAAAAAGATAAGCTTCATAACTTACTACTTTAGAAAAGCCATTCTCCAAGAAAACAGTCCCATTAGATGGACTCAACTGTGACTTGAAGGTATCGACGAACACGGAGTCGTACACAGGGCCTGAGGGGAAATGTGGAAAGTTATCAGCTTTTATTATATGTACTGTGCACACCTTGACTTATTCCGTTCAAGGAGAGAGGAAATAAAACAGTTCCCTGGCTACGAGTCCTGATCTTTGGGTTACGCTCAAAGATTATGTGCCCGTGTGGAATTAAAGCCCTAAAACTGTCCCGAAAGCCAGCCGACATTTTAGACTGGTAGATAGCAAGAAGTGGAAACATTAATGAGTAAAGGTCTGTCTGTCTGGCTCAATATACCTGTAAAGGTCACACTGCAAATCTTATTTTGATCATTCTGTTGTGAATGTTCAATCAGTAACCTTGTATTGTATATTTAAATGCTGAACATCTGTTTGATTTAAAAGACTTCTGGATGTTAAAATAAGTAGCTGTGTTTTTACATAGACAGGCCTCAGGTTGCAAGAGTGTCTTCTATCTTTGATAAATGTTTGTTTTTTTGTCATTGAAGAGCACTGGTTCTCAACCATTTTGGTGTCAAGGACCCCCAAATTGATATACATCAGGCTGTGGACCCTTATTTGACAAGACGTATAGATCCCTGTCTAATAAGAGTTAATTATTCCATAACTGTCTGTACTGTAGAGTGGTAGATTAAACAGTGAAGAGTGTGAAACCTATGAACAGAATAGTCATTCTTATACATTCTCCCACTGGTCTAACTTATAGTCAATTAAATAATAATAGTCAATGCTTTGGAGTGTATAAGATTTAAAGATAGCCTCTATAGGAGAGGATAGAAATATTGAGGTTGGGTCCCCCCGTGACCGCTCACCATGTTCAGAAAAATTAGACAAACCCAAAAGAAGGTACCTAAAATTGTTCATTTTTATGTTTTTTTTTATGTATTTTATGTATTCAGCACACCTCCCGTAAATTGCATTTCTCAACATGAAAGTTGAATAAACGTTGTTTCAAAGCCTTCTCCATGCTACCAGTGAGGAAACACTTTAAAGCCTTGATGTATGCATTATATTGTTTGACTAAAAGTAATCAAATTTAAACATAGTCTTAAAAATGATGTAAAATGCATGTAAAGACATGAGCCATTCAGTCTGCTCAACCACGACCCAACATAAAAGGTCTAGATGGCGTTTGAAAGCACTCTGCAGGCTGCCAGGAAAAAAAATGTGTTTATATTTTTAATTGTAAAACTTAAACAGCCAATTCCCTCTTGAAAACCCTCATTGCCCTGACTCCTATCTACGGCCCTGCTGTGTTGGCCGCTCTTACTTGTTGGAGTAGAAGCAGATCCACTTCTGCTGCTGGACTGCCTGGACTTCGTTCTCCTGATAGTTTGCACTTGCTCCAGGACTCTCTGCTGGCCCGATCGGTACTGGTTAACGGACGGCAGAGCCAGCGACGTGTCGTCCACATTTATGATGGAAATGACGGATTTCAGCGGATCCAGACTCGTCATTTTTTTTACTCTCCGGTCGAAACAGGGGGCGGGGAGGGGGAGAGGGCAGCGACAATATCCAAAGAGGGCTCGCACGGGAAGTCGGTCTGCTGCGGAGTGTCTGTGTTTGTATGGAGTAATAAAGGCGCACCTTGCCCTGCCCTGCCCGATAAGACCGCGCCCATGCAGGCACAATAGAGCCGAGCTGAGCCAGCCATTAACCCTCACTCTGCACTTTCTCTGGCTTGTCTTGACAAATACCCCTCGATTAAGTGGAAAGTAACCAGTATGTAGGTGGAAGATCATTTACTGAAGTAGCCTACTGTACTAAAGCACATTGGAGGTACTTTAGTCTTTCTATCTCAGTTTCTACTTCTACAATTCAGAGGGAATTCTTTTTCATTTTTTGTGCAAAACACATTTCAAGGCTCCAGCTTTACACATGTGATGATTTGCTGCTTTTACTTTTAATGATCTGTATTTATTTGTAATCATTTTGAGGTTTGGATGCCTGGTTGCATTGTGTAGGTTCCACTTTGGGCTCTGGGTAATTATGATGAGATTTTTCACTATTTTCTTATTTTAATCATTAGTTGGAGTCTTATGCAAACTAGTTCAAAATGAGCTCCACCTCAACTAAATAGTAAAATACTGCTTTTACATTAATGAGTAAAAATATTCTAATAATAAAATATCTATCAAACAGTTTTTTGCATTTAGACACTTAGATAGTTTTGCTTAATTAACTTAATTTCGTTGCATTATTTTTATGGTGTCATATCAGTACTTTAGTAAAGGCTCTGAATACTTCCTCCACCACTGCTCAAGTACAATTTAAGGTGCTCATACTTTACTTTATATTTCGTCTTCACTATATTTGCAGAGGTAAATATTGCACACAATAATTTGACTGCAGCCAGGTAGATTTCAAATTAAATATTCATCCATCCATGATCAACTCATAGAAAAATAAATGCATTATTAAAACCACCTACCAGTAAACAGTTAGCTCCACCCCAAAAGCTACAACATAAGAAAATATAATTCAATATTAAAGCATTGATGGAAGAAATTAATTCTTTACTAAAAGTACCAATACAACAGTGCAAAAAAAACCCCAAGCAATCAAGTCTGGCATTTCATGCAAGAACCCTACTTAAATATAAGTACAGATGTATCATCAGCTAAATGTACAAAATGTATTGACAGTGAAAATACTTGTTCAGCAGTAAAATGGGCCCTGTGACTGAGTTACAGTTATGGCATTATTCGATTTTACTGCTGATGCATCACGCTAAGTAGCATTTTACTGCTGTAGCTGGTTGAGGTGAAGCTACTTTATAAGTTCCCAACCTATAAGGTTACATTTTGAGAGGTGATGACGTGATTAATGGAGCAAAACTATGTTCTGCTACATTAGTATGCTTAGATTTTTTTTGTTTGTGAAATATAAGGTATTGGATAATATTGGATAATTTGATGTCTTTTAGACCTGTCATATTAAACACTTTTTTAAATAAAACTATCTGAGGGGAAAACACTCGGTGGAAAATTGCTAACAGGTCATAAATATCTGAGACATGACAAAAGGCTACAACTAAACACTTTTTTTGTAAGGGGTCACTATTAATAAGTAACTGTTGCTTTAATTTTTAACAGTGCATTCTTTTTTACACCATATGTTGTGTTTATGTAACTATAGCTGTGAAATCAATGTAGTGCAATAAATAGTACATTATATATCTCTGAAATATAGTGGGGTACAAGTATAAAGTAGCATAAAATGTAAATTTACATAAATGTACTTGTACTTTTGATGCTTGAAGTATATTTTGCTGATAATACGTCTGTACTTTAACAAAGTACTACAAGTGTTAGGCAAGTTGACGAAAGGTCTGGGAACCAACAGGTCAATGAATGCATTCATTTTATCATGTTCTCAAATCATGTAAAGTTAAATATAGGCTACTACAGCCATTGATTACAGCCATGTGACAACTAAGGGCTTTGACTACAGCTAATCAAACAAAATGTTGCACAATGAACACAAAACAGACTAGACTGAGACAGATAAAGGACCAATGCAAAAAAGCCATCAGTGGTGTACATGATTATAATCATACCTATGATCTAAGTGAAGTGGTAAGTAAAAGTGAGTTTAACTTTTACTACAGTTCAGATCTGCACACTGTTCATGTTATTCCTTCTGACTGGCCACAACCGCGAGAGTTGGAAAATCATGCTATCACTGCAGCACATCACAAGGGAAAACATGAGTAGGGAATTAGCTTCATTTATTTAGCAACAATACAAAACCATATTAATAAAAGAATAGGACAGGATGTAGGTTAGAAATTGGGTAAATATTTTGTTGGAACTTGACCTAAATAGCAAGCAAGTAGAAGAAATATGATTTTAGTTGAAAATGCATAAGTAAAACTAAAAAAGGAGGTTACTTAGTATAGGAACAACGCATTACCTGAGCCTATTTTAATGTATATATTTAGTGTGTTTAGGGATGGTCATGTGGTCTAAAATGTCTGTGTAGCTCTACTAACTTATTCATGTTTTCCTTAATGGTGACACAGCCACAGCATGGCACCAACTGTGATGGTCTAAATTATTGATGTAATCTTCACTTGGCAAAATTAAAAAATGTAATGTACCACACCCATGGTGCTCTTGGCGAAGGTGTGCAAACTGGCATGTGGGATCTGGCAACTTTGGCTGTTTCCTCTCACTTGTTCTGTCACCTTGGTTATATAATTGTTGCTCAAAAAACAGTCTGGTGTTCCATTTGGAAACTTTCTCATGTACTACTGTTGCCCTCTAGTGGTGAATGTGTAGATTGGCGTATCAGTGAATATTGTCAACAGTTGGAACTGGCAGAGTGCATCATCTGCTGACTTGTCACCTTTCTCCAGATCCACAGCAGTCAAAACGCATGAGAATAAAGTCTTTATTATTGCTGTCATAATCATGCCTGTCACAATTTTCAATTGGAATGAACATCAGGTATTACCTGAAACTATATGACCTTTATAAAATTAGGAACTACCAACATTGAGATGAAAGTTAAGAATACATTTTAAAAATGATCTGTCATCATTCTGGCTCTTGCTTGCTAAGTCATTACACTGTTCAATAGAGATATGGGACATTAATTCATTCTCTAGCATACATAAAAGGAAGTGGTTTATCTGTTTAGTCAAGTCAGTGCACTGCACACTAAAGACATATTAAACAAAAAAATAGGTCCAAGTTAAGAGTGTATATATATATATATATATATATATATATATGACAGAATATCTTCAGCACATTCCCACTGGTATATTTTGGGAAAGAGGAGTGTAGATTGTCTCTAACAATAAGATACTTTCAAGTGCAAGACAGTGAACAATATAGCTGAGACATGCAGAGCCTATGCCTTTTACTACAGTATGCTACACTGAAAAGCTTTAACTGGTGTGTGAGGATCTTTAAGTGCTACTAAAAGCTCTCAGCGATCTGTCCTCCATAGAAAAAATGTTACTGACTAAAATGTAAACCTACAACCTTCGGAGTGTCTGTGTCTTCTGTGCAGTGGAGATCACGATGCACAGAAGATTTACTTACAGAAAGGACTACTTTCTCTAAGTAAGTCAGCAAATGGTCTGGACCCACTGCGACTGTGTGGTTGACTCTCCAAATGGGAAGCATGGAATTAAAAACAGAAACAACTGGTCCCGCTGAAACTACTGGTGGGTGGAATGCAAGTCGGACCTCAGGCTTGAATAACACAAATGGTCACGTTTCTGGCCTTTAAGAACAGCAGTAGCACAGAAGTATCATACTATGTAATAGGAAGTGTGTTTGTTGAAGTGCATAGAGGGAAATCTAGGGGTAAAAAAGGCTAAAGACGATTATATAAAAAGTATAAAAATGTCAAAGCATGTGTCCTGCACTACTTTCAAAAACTCCATCAGTCTGCAATACAAATCTAAATCTCAAGAGCACAAAACACATTCAGAGCATAAACGACTCCTTCAAACATCCATCTTAAAGCTAACTTCAAAAGGCTTCTCTCAGTGTGCCCACTTTGACCCAGTTGGCTCCGGCTTTATTCCTCTGGGTCAAAGGCACTGGGCTCAAGACCCTCTGGGGGCCTCCGCTGGGTGTTGTGGGGCTGAGCCAAAGGAAAGCCCCTGAGCTTCTCTTGCAGACTACCTACAGCCAGCCTCATCTGGTCTTCAGCCCCCTGCAGAGATTTCAGCTCCATGGTATAGAAGATGTACAGCAGAAAGGTGGTCAGCAGGATGGCGAAGCACAACGCAGCCAGCATGTAGAAGGAGGTACGAGGGAAAGGTTGTTCAGCTCCCAGGGCCAACCAGGGCACAGCAGCGATGGCCAGCTCCAGAAAGAGCAGAGCCAACCCCATCACTCCGGTGCGTGTTGCTGTGTAGCGCATCCTCTCAGCACAGTGCAGACCCACCTTGACTTCAGTGCGAGCCTCTGTCACAATGTCTACCAACTCAGCCACCTTCCCTGAAGAGGAGAAAAGACAAAGAACATTTAAAAATCATGCAAGAGCTGATTGTTGACTTCAACACAAGCAGCATAGGGGTGTTTAATACAAACCTACAGTTGAGAAGTCCTAATGAAAAAGTAGAGGGATCCACTTTAAAATACAGGGATTTCATTCTGGACATAAGGACCATTGAGTTTGCCAAAAAACTGTCATAACAGCTGTATTATTACTAGGGTATGGTTGAAACAAACATACACGCTCCAAATGGGATTCAAAGTCACTGACCAGCACAGGTAACGTCAAAATCACCCCACTTCCCCTACAGCACCTGTTTCCCAACCCCCATTAGGGGGTCACGAAACCTATTAGTTATGTGATTGTTAAAAAAATACATCATACAGAGAGTTTTTGAGCTTGGAGCTAAATGCCAACACCAGCATGCTAACAGGCTCACAATGACATCGTTAACATACGGATGTTTAGCTGGTATAATGTTTACAATTTTCACCATCTTAGTTTAGTTTAGTGAGTAAGATTCTCTGGGAATCACAAATGTGTGTACAAGAATTTTCGTCATCCATAATTGTTGAGATATTTCTGTTTGATTACCGATCAAATGATATTGCCATCGTTAGAGCCACCCTGCTAGCATGGCTAGTAAAGAATACCTGCAGCAGAGGCCGGATTTCCCGATTTCCTGTCACTTTCGGTTTCAGTTGGAGCGTGTGTCTCCAGCCTAAGTTCAGCCGTCAGAGCTTCATGGTCGGAGTATGGGAATGGATGTTCAGGGACGGAGCCTGTGGTGGTGGACATCAAATCGCAATAAATGGCTACTTTGGATGAACCCTGAGAATGAAAAACAAAACAAAATGTGCTTCTGGATTCAAAACAAATTCATAGGATGATGATGAAGGGGGTAAAGTACAGCGGGAATGACAACACAGAACTTTCACGCACCTTGAACATGATGTAGTCGATGCGAATTCCCTTTTCAAAGGGAGCAAGGTCCTTTTTACTAATAAAAGGGTTGTCGGCTATTAGAGTCATACCGTCCTCACACCCCTGCAACAGAAAATTATTTTTAACATTTATATTTAAAAAAACAAAACAAGTTCAAAGGAAAATGCATTTTTTATCTTACCAACCTGGCTATTGTTTTCATAGTCTTTACTAATATTTCTGTCAGTTATTATGAAATTTTACTTAGTAATTAATTCTTGAGATAGCAACAATGACTGCTGGATACAGTTTTACATTTTAGCAGAACTACTTCCTGACAAAGTGTCTTACTGAAGTTGTGTATGCAAGAGGTTTCAAAGTGCTGTGGATGATAATATCAGATTTCTGGTGAGTGGTCATCAAACAGAAAATAATGTGGTTAACAGGGCTTGTTTTATCTATCTGACTGTTAGCCATCAGTAGTGTTGTAGAGCTATCTACCACTGTCATTGTGTACTACGTTTAACCATTAACCTTATAAAATTTGAAAAAACAATACAAATTATGGCCAAACCTACAAGAATAGGACCAGGCTGAATTTTCCTTCAATTGCTGTATATTGTGCAGCACTTCTGTCACTACCTACATCAAATTTAGCAGTCTCTAAATAAGAGTCTCGGAGTCCAGTGGAAGTTCTCAATAGTCTGTTACCGAGGTCCTGAGGGTGCATGTTGAGGTCACCACCTAAAATCACCACATCTGCTCCAGCAGAGGTGTGGCTAATAGGGATAGAAGAACACATAATTACCACATAACTTAACATGTAGATGACACTTTACTGTGTATAAAAAGCATTTAGCAAAAGAATACTGCCGAACACTTATAGGTAAAATCCTGCTACAAACGTCACTAACACCAACTGACAACAGGTGAGGCTCAGAAAAAAAATTATGCAAATATACACCACAGTAAAGAAATATAATATGAGCTGAATAAACAAGTAAAGACACGGTACCGAATGAACTGCTGCAGCTCCCACGACTGAACCACTCTATGGGGCAGATAAGAATCCTTGTCTCTGCAGTATTCTGCATGCAGCTGAAATTAATAGACAGGGACAACAGCACACTGATATAACTTACTGTATAAAATAAACTGATATGGCTTAGTGCAGATGTTAGGGAACCTTACATGAGTAACATAGACGATTGCAGTCAGGCTGCCAATCTTTAAGACAGCCATCCCGACAGCTTTCCCTCCAAACCAGTCTCCATGGTGAGCCTAAACGTTAGGAAAAACACACAAAGTTACGGGAGGAAAGGAGGTATGTTACTCTGCAAATAGAGGCAGCAACACTAAAGGATCACGTATCCACTCTGAGGGGGAGGCGTGTATGAGACTGGCTCCGGACTATATTGCTGACTTGCTAACTCCAAACGAGCCTAAGTGCAGGCCTGAGATGTGCTGATAGGTCTCTATTAATAATTCCTAGGTCAAGAATAAAAACCGGAGGAGATCTGGCCTTTGCAGTCAGTGCCTCTTGAGTCTGGAACGATCTTATTTTAGAACTGCATTTCCTGGAACCGTTTTTTATCCTGTTACTCTTCATTTTAATATGAATTATTATTGTTCACTTTCAACTAGTCGTGTTTACATACAGTGTGCAGTACAAAACACTACTCACTGAGTCTCATGCTCTCCACACTTACCATGTAAGGATAACCATTCAGAGAGTAGCGATAAAGAAACGTGTCATGGATTCTGTGTTTGGAGAAAATGGCCAGTCCACTGCCTATGACTCCACTGCAGAATGAGAGGAAAAGCAAGACATGAGCAAAAGTTGTATGTTTCACACTAAAAAAACAGCATCAGCAGTACCTTATTATCATTTAATGTAATAACTCCTATCCCTGGTGATTATTAATAGGTGTTATCTGTAGTAGATGTGAGAACTTATCTACTAGAGTTGACGTTTTTGTGAGTCGCAGAGGGAATTAGAGAGGTGGAACCTTTGATTAATCCGAGTCTTATGCCTTGGTGTAGAGTTCAAGAAGGGATTAATCTTCAGAAGTTAATCCTTATAGGTAAAGCCTAATCTTCAGTTAAATTTTGGATCAATGCCATTAAAGTAAATTTTTCTGACAGTGGGGCACTTCAGGAGCCTTTTGAAGATATAACAACTTACTCATGAATTTTAATCATAGACTGAAAGATGTCTTAACGGTAGCATGTTGAGCAAAAATTGCACAGCAACCTTGGGAGGAGAGTAAAAACATTACCTTTTGAAGTAATGAGAGTGAGGATGACTACAGCCAAGTTTCTGTTTCAAGGAGAGATAGTCTTTCTCACTCCACACCTAAAAGAAAAATCTGTATGTCACACAAAGCAGAATACTATGAATTGTTCATACAAGTTTACACAAAGAATTGTGATTTAAGGTTGGTCGGGCAGAATACACAACTTTTTTCCACTTAACTGAACAAATTAAAAAGTTAAAAACAAAGTCAATCAGATTAGTGATTCTGCAACTTTATAACTTTGTCAGATGGCTTCCACCAACCTCTTGCAGTAAGACGATATCATGTTCTTCCTTGCACAACATATCTCCAATCATGTCATAGCGCTGAGGACAGTGTTTGCTAAGGTAGTGGATCCCCCTGAAAGAAGTAACAGAGTGTAGACTGTGTTTTTGCATACATGTATCAAGACAAGTTAAAACCCCAATGCATTGAGAATCACTAGAAACCACAGCCACTGACCAGCAGTTTAGAGAGAAGACCCGCAGACCGACAGAGTCTGCGTTATCCATGCTGACAGGTCAGTGGATCAGTAGATGTGAGTGTCAGATCCGGTGAGATGACGGGGACAGCTCCTAATGTGACACATAAAAATGATTGTTAGACATCCTTGTCTAGGCATGCACATAACCCTCCCACATCTTTTCACAAGCACTGTAATAAAACAGGAGTAATTTGAGGGTCGGACCAATTAAACTCTAGCGAAAGGTCAGTCAGGAAGGCTATTGTTTTGCATATAGGCCTGTAGTTAATTTCTCCTTCCACCCTGCATTCACTCCTCTCATGCATGGTCATTCACAATTTCCTTGTCAGGCGCTGTCAATAGAGATATCAGCTGTTCTCATCAGCTGGTCACATCTATCCAATAGCACAGTGACACATCTGCATCTTTAGCCTATCATCTTGCTGCTGTCTTTTTAAATATGATTCTCTCTCTACCTTCAGGTAATTCATGCTGCTGTTACACGCGGCCCTCTCCACCTCTCCATCACTGCCCAGTCTTCTCAGATTCATCAGCTTCATTATTTCATCAGCCTATCAGCTTCAGCAGAGTCATCAGCCACCGCCACCAGTGTCTAGACGCCATAGGGGGATTTATTTTGCTGCTACTCAGGGCAGACGCCCTTTGATCATAAAAAAATCTCCTTCTAGAGTCTAAAATCGCCCAAGACTTACACATACACATATCTTTACTTCATTCATTCTCCTGACTGAACTGAAACTTATAGACAAAGGTCAAAGACACATTTACACAATTATAAAAGTGAAAACAGCACAAAATCAGAAATCTGAGAAAGAAGAATAAGTGGAAAAAGACATTAAAAACTGCACAGTAAGCGCCAAAAGTGCAAATCAAGCAGATTGCAGCCTGACTTTAGTTCCAGTTCTGGGCCTTAAATTGTTTTGAGGATTCAGCTAATTTTCACAATTATTAACGGACAACCTTATTTTTGGCTCTGTGTAAAGGTGTAATCAGGTCTGAAAATGAGCAACTATGTTGTTTCTAATAGTGTGTTATAACTGAGCTGACCCTGGTAGGCCTCACTATGCAATGCTGACAGAAAATGTTGTTGATTTTTCAAAAAAAAAAGAGACAAAGTAAAGAGGCGATTGCATTCACTCTTTCTCCGGGGAGTGAAACAATACACCACCCCAAACAGACTGCTGACATAGCTTTGCTCTGCCTGGAGAGAAAAAGGAAGCAGTGAAAAGAAACTGAAAAAAAAAAAAAAAAAAAAAGGTGCAAAACTTGTTATTCATATCAATACAAACAAAGCAAACAGCATAAATAAAATAAACAATTTCTCTGCAATTGTAACATAAACTTTAAGTTATCCAATGCATCTGTGTGTGTGTGTGTGTGTGTGTGTGTGTGTGTGTGTGTGTGTGTGTGTGTGTGTGTGTGTAAATCACTTAGGGACGCTGCATCATTCACAAAGTGTGCACAGACAGTTGGCGTTAGGTGTCGTAACCAGGTAACAGACACCGGACACTGACCCCAAAAACTGAAGACAACCACAGTGACACTCTCTAAAATAAAAGGGTGGTGAAATGAAATGATGTCAGGTCAGTACACTACATGTACACAGCCAGATTAAGTTACATGTGACCCAAAATGCCGGCTGCCTGCTGGTGTGCAGATGCAGAGGTAACAGACAAGGTGGATAAAGTTTTTTTTTTTTTTTTTTTTTTTAAAACCTAATGCTTCGACAGCTAACTGGTGAAACCTGTTAGCCGCCTCTTGCTTTGTTAATGGAGATTAAAAAAAAAACCGTTAAAACAACCAGTCGGCTTCCTTATTAAGTAGCTATAATATCCAAACGTTAATCACGGCAGGTAACCGGTAAGGTAACGTCAGCTGCTGAACAACCCTCGCTAGCCATGTGGCTACGGTCTCTCCCGTTACTGCGAAGCTGGCTCCGGTTTCCGTTCAACCGTTAACGTTACACTCACTGAGCCGTTAATTCACGAACGTTGGTTCATTTAACTCACCTCGCGAACCTGTTGACGTCAGCTGGGGCCGTTTGAAGAGCCGTTACAATGGTGTAATATCAGTTTTTGGCTCTGGACCCGAAAACACTTCCTGTGAGCGTGCCAGTTGGCTGTTATTGTAAAATAAATAGTTAATTATTATCGAGGGTGTACATAGTTCTGTTCCTCAGACAACTAACACTAACTTAGCGTTGTTTGACGACTTCCATCGCTACGTCCTTTTCCTGCCGGCGTAAAGTCAGCGTGTGATAAGTAAAAAAACATTTTGTTATGACTTCCGGTTGTAGTTCTCCCTCAAAATAAAACAGGAACTTGAGTTGCGATCGTATTTGAGTGACAGGAGCGCATGTGTAGAACACGTTTTTGATTGGACTGTGAATACCTTATGGCAAAAATAATAATAACAAAAAAGATTTCAAATAAACAAATCACTTATTTTTGTCCAAGTTTATTTTGGAGGCTTTTGTCAAACATCCGTTGATATTTTAGCTAACTTGACTGCAGTTTCCGGTTTGAATACGTCGCAGCCGCGAGTAATTGTGGGAGGTGTAGTTCTGTCAGCCAAAGGCTTTACACAGGAAGTTGTGGCCCATCACAACTAGTGTTTCAGTAAAGTGCCATCTGCACTTAGAGCTATGGGAAAGACATCAGTAAATAATAATAATAAGTAAATAATAATAATAAAGTGTGCTTTAGTGTGAAATGTAAAAGGAAGAGCAAAGCTCAGGGGACTGAGCCTGTCAGGGCAGGACGTGATCAAACTGTGTCAGCAAGAACAGTACGTCAACAATTACATAGTGATGATATTATAGTAGGGTTGCAGTGCAGAAACCCCTCATTACAAAGATGTTCAGTGGTACTTGTCTACAGAAATTTGAAAAAAAAGTGATATGGTCAGATGAGTCATCCATCGCCAACTGGATGAGTGCATGTGTGGCGTACACCGAGAGAACGAAACAGACATGAATGTTTCACCCCTACAGTAGCTCTGTTATATATATATATATATATATATATATATATATATATATGAGTGAGCTCTTCCAGGATGTCAGTGCACCCACCCATAGTGCAGGAGATATCACTAAATGGTTTGATGAGTATGAAAATGAATCATAGGCCTTTGCAGCCACCAGATCTCACACCAAATGACGGGATATCTTTTGAAGGTATGGCGTTCATCCCTCCAGTAGACTTCCAGTGACTTTGATTGAGAGCTAAGTATTTTGGGGGGCTTTTATTGCCTTTATGATAGAGGCAGCTGAAGATAGACAGGGAAGGGGGACAGAGAGAGGTTGGATTTGAACCCTGGGCTGCTGCAGCAAAGACTCAGCCTCGGTACATGGGACACCAGCTCTACCCACTGAGCTAACTTTTATGCAACTTTTTGATTTCATTTGTCACCCATCTGTAGCTAATTTGTGGAGTTCAGCGCTAACACAATATTTGGCTTTCTAGGCCTTTGTAGTAACGGCATGAAAATAACCATCGTGGACAAAACAAATTTACAAACATGTTTAATACGTTTTCTGGGGGAAAAATGGCCCCAAAGGCACCATGCGTCTTTTATTGTTAGATACATTTGTTTGATTACATAGTCCAACCTCTACTTTGAAGTATAAAATTGCAATGCACAATGGTAACAAAGACAACAGTAAACCCCAAAAAAACAACAACAACAAAAAAAAAACTGCCCACACCATTCAGAATATGATACATTAGATATCTCATTATTAATTATCAATATCAGCACAATCACACATTATTTTCAGTGAAGCATATGGCAAACACTGAAAGTCAAAAGACAACAGAATCAAAACAAAACATTAATCTTGATAATGGCAAAAAAAAAAAAAAGTCTGTATAAAAGATAAAATGAGAAACCTGCTAGAGTAGGAGTGTTATTGTATCTAGCTTGTGAAATATGACATTCAAAGCCAGGTGCAATTATTCCACCGTACAATATCTTAAATTTGAACTTTTATAGCACAATTGTCCAGTGAACCACACAGAGTAGACACTTGTCTAGCAGGATCCATGGGATGACAGTTCTCCTGTCTCTAATATGAGTCCTGCAATACTTTTAACATCTCCATCACAATAGAAAATGATCAATACATCTCCAGTACCCCACCCTGCCCTCCCGCTATTTCTTTTCCAACCCCATAAATAACAATCAATGGTCATACTCCACAGCACAGAGACAATAGCTCTCATTCAAGACAATTATTTAGTTTGATTTCAAAATTATTTCATGTGTAATGTCAGTAAAAAATGGTCTTAAATATAAAAACTGAACTTTTATCAACAGATGCAGCTTCTCCACACATTACACGGAGAAGGGTGAAGCAAATGAACCGACTTCACAGCATACAATCTCTTTTTTAAACAAAAGAAACAGTGATTAACTTCTCTCCACTTTAACCATGGTCTCTGTGCTGAGTTACTTGATCACAAATATGAACATAAAGTACCCCCCAAAAAATACTCCTATGTAACACATATTCCTTTAGCATCCGCTGACTCACAGTACAGAAATAATTCATCTTTCAATTAGGCTACATAACTCAAGGCAGAAAATAAGCACTGCTGTTGCTTCACCTCTCCCCTTCTGGATCTTTTAAGTGCAACCAAGCACACGTCTTCAAACAGAGAGAAAGGGATCTCGTAGGGATGGCAAAGCCCCGGCTTTATTTCAGGCTAGCAATGGTACAAAGCATCCCTAGTGTCACAAGTCAGTTATAGATAGATGCTTGTAAGACCTGATTTTTAAATTGTGTAATAAAACATAAAAAAAAAAGCAGAACCTAAATAGTACGTTAACACAATAAACCTTCTCCCTGTACACTTGGACTGTAAAACTTGGGACAATTTTGTTTGTAAAACAACAGGCTACAATGAAGATTAGTTATCCCATCCCATTCCTCTGTGTGCCGGAATACAAAAAGTGCCTCACACAATGTAGATCTGAGAGGTTTCTTTCCAATTTTTTTTGACAAAATACACCTGTCTGACTATTTTCTGTTTGTTTAAAAACAAGAGGTAGTAAAAAAAAAGGCAATCCAAAGTGGCAGGCAATGATATAATCTTTGGAGAAAAGGCACTTGCTTTCCTAACAAACCTACTGCAACAACACCACTTGGCTCTGGTTTTCCCCTTCCGTGGTCATGTTCTCTCTTTACTTTTTCAATCTTATGTACACTTCTCTTATTGAGTGTGTTCCTTTGGATACCATAAGAGTCTTTTCAACCCTAAACACGTTCTCGTTCCCTCAAAAAAACATTTCAAACTCCATCAATTACCTTGGGAAAGTGACCCACTTCATCTAAAGCATGTTTAAACACATGGAAGACAGCTAGTTGTTCGAAAAATCCGTAATTCTTCAAAATTTCTTTGCGTGTCGGCACGTTGAGATTCACTCTTTTTTTCCTTGCAAACAAGACTTTTTTAAAGCATAAAATGTGTCCATGTTAGTTCGGCCTAGGATTGTTTGAATGTTTTTTTTTTGTTGTTTTTTCCTGGATGGTTGAGCTGGTCGAAGAGAGATTGTGTCACGCTTTTTGTCTGGCTTTTCCAAAACCTCCCTGAAGAGCTGTTAGTCTTTAACAAGTCTGTAGACATGATACTGAGCTCCGTGTTCACTTGTGGAAACCTCAAAAACAAACGCTATACAGAGCAAGGTCTCCTGGGTGTCACGGTTCGTCACCACCTGAGGGACAAAGGGAAAATGTCAAGTGAGAAATGTGAAGCAGCACAGTCTATTTAAAAATAGTGCAGTGACAATCAGTTGATCATTTCTTAATTTGTTAAAGAAAACACATTGTGGCTTTAATGGGGGGTTATATGTTGGGCTAGCTGTTTCCGCATTTGCAGTCTTTTTGCTAAGCTAAGTCAGCTGTAGCTTTATAATCAGCCTACACATGTGGGAGCATTATTGATCGTCTCATCTAACTCTCTGCAAGAAATAAAAGAAAAGCCACTATTATATATATTTCCCTAAACGTCAAACTATTCCTTCAACAATCCGATAAAACCGAGTGTTTGTTACCTGTAGGATCGTGAAGTTTTCAAGAACACTGTTCATCATGTATTTTTCAGGCAAGTGTTTGAGTTTGTGGATAAAGTTGATCATGTACTCGCACATAGGAGAGCGGTGGATCCTGTAAACACACTTTCCTCCCTCCAGGCGGGCGTACTCTGTCTGCAACACGGTTGAAAACACCAAGTAGTGAGGCGACGTTAAGAGACTGCGTATCAATCGTTGGAGAAGACCATACAGAATCAATGCACGTTCCTACCTCTACTTTCTCGACAACCTGCTTTCCAAACGAGCAGACTTTGGTTGAAACAGTGATCGTCATGTTCTCAAGGCTGCTGTACTGGCTGCTGACACCGTAGAAAGAACCAGGACCATCCGGCATGCCGCTGCTGTTCAGGTCCGCCTGCACAGGGTATACATTTAATCTGATTAGCGATGATCATCACATACTTTGATGTAACTTAATTTCCTCATAGCACATGAATTGTGAGATTGAAGGTCTTCCAATGGTGTTTTGTTTCTGTGCAACGACATACATCGTGGGACTAGATGTTTTGGGGGAGAACATAATGTGTTCTGCACACATGACAGTCTACTAACATAAAGAGAAATGCAGTGTACACCATGAAGTAATCAATTGTGAAATACTGTCTTATAATATATATCACTAAGATAAGAAAACCACTGCTGTTTCATAAGAAAAAGGAAGTGGTTGCATTAGGTCTACTTTGCTACTGCTTGTGTCACTTTGAAACTGTTGTATGTTAAAAACACAGGACATAAGTAAGATGTCACACTTTTCTATACTGGGATAATGTTAAGTATAAACCAGACAAAGTGAAAGATAAGTGTTTGCACAATAACAACTAATAACCAGTAGAAGATACTATAAGAATACCAACCCACCCAGAATTTGACTAGGAAGAAAGCATTCTGAGGGCCTTTCTCATAAAGCTCTTTGAGCCCGCCCTTCTTCTCAGGGAACTTGTCGTAGATCTGCCGGATGTCCACAGCCTCGAGGAGTGGGTCGCTGTATGAGGGGTTGGTCTGTCCAATGTGGACAAACAGATGTTTGCTGTACTGCAATGGACAGAGATAACAAGAAAGGACGTGGTTAACCTTAAGAACATTAGCTGCAAAATCTAATGTGACATTTTGTTCACTTTTGAGAAAAGGGAAAGAGGAGACTGTTAGGTTGTCTGTAGCCTTCTGACATCGGATCTGTACCAAACACCACTTAAATATTCAGTTGTTCTTAGCCTTTGTTGTACATTAGGTAGCAGATAGTGTTACCACATCAGGACAATCCAGATGGCGTCGGAGATAATGTCCATCACGGAAATTGACACCTACCCTGCCTTTTATAGAAACCCAGATGACAAACAATGCAGCTACTTCATTTGCAGTCGTTTTGTGTAATTCAACTTAAATTACTTTAATAATGTTACTGTATTTTATGTTATTGTATGTTCAGTATGTTCAGCTGTCATATGAAGGAAAAAAAAAACAAAAGTAGATATTGGGTTTGATTAACAGATACTAAAGAGCCAGTGTTTGGTATGTCCGTTCTGGGCTACTGTAGAAACATGGATAAAAACAGCTCATTCTGACTTAATGAAAACACAATGATTCTTATTTTTAGGTAATTATACACTAATAATAACATACCTATGAATATTATATTCCATTTCTGCCAGTAGAACCTAATAAATGTTACAGACTGGACCTTTAACAGTCACTTCAAACTGAAGCTGTAGCCCTGAGGCCCCGGGCCTATGCCCACTAGACCTGTTTAGTAATCCATGCATGTCCGTATGTGGAAAGCCTTGTGGTAATCCTTCACTCACGTTGTCTGGGTCTCTCTGGACCTCCATGAAGGCTGAGTACTCCAGCATCCGCAGCTTAGAGGAGGCAATGGTCCGGTCCTGCCACACTGGAACTGCAGTAGCAGTTGGTGCAGGAGGAGGTGCCAAGGGCTCATAACCTGAAAGGCACGCACACAGAAATGGTTATAAAATGCATTTATTTTTGGTTTACTTTATTAAAAACTTTTTTTTACTTTATACTTACTTGGTATGGATTGTGGTACAGGACCTGATAGGCTTGGGTATGGGGGCTGTGCAAAAGGTTTGATACTGAAAGACAATGAATGGGTCAGTGAGACAATGACTGCTATACAGGGTCAGTAGCAAACGGTTGTTGCACATGGGTCCTCCTATATTTGTATTTCTGACACGTTTTTTTTTATTTTTATAGTGGAAATCTGTTAGTCAAAGTGTAAGCATGTGTTGTTGCACCAGCTAGGCGTAAGTCCACCTGCTTCATTGCTTCTCAAAGATGCAAAATAGCATCAATGAATTATGCTTTTTCTGAGAAAATCTGAGAAAATCTATTTATATATTTAAATTTTTCCTTTTTTTCTCAATCAAATTTGAAGCAGTTAATTTGCCTGGTGGTGGTTTACATCAGTGCAGGAAACATACAGTACAATACAGTGTAGAAGAAGAGTTAGTACTGCTTTGTGCTCACAGTTGGACCTCGGCTAGGGGGAACTTACGCATGGCTGGTGCGGCCAAACCCAGGAGTCCTTCCCTGGTTGAGATCTAGAACCAGCCTGGTGTGCAAAAACGTGATCCGTTAAACATGCCTTACAATACCCACCTGACATTAGACCTAAACCCCTCAGTCACTGACAGAATTCATGTATTTACTCATCTCTAGCACCAATCTCTCTCTCTTCAGACACTAAATACAACCAGATGTCACCCCACAACCAACATCTTGTGGGTTCAATAGCGGGGTTTACTTACTCCTGAGAGGGTCCAGGCTGTCCTGGGATTGCAGACCAGAACTGGAGGGTAAGAAAACAGGGTTAATTTGTGCTATAGTATTAATACATTTTCTTTATATCAAATCTAATGTAATTTTCAGGACTAAGAATGTCAACAAAACGTGTTGTAATTGCACAGAAAATGAGTGGTGGGCTCACTCTTGGTTGGTAGGGGGCTGGAGGCAGTGGTGGAAGATGATTCTTTATCATACTCGGGGAGACGATCTGTGCAGACGACAGCGCTGCCATGTTCTGCAAGGCTTTGTCTTTAGACGCCTGATCCTACAGATTGAAACAGAAGAGTAACGAGGGTCAACCACAAGGTGGCACCATAACCTTAACATTATCTACTGCTGCATTGGTGTGTAGTGTTGTGTATAGACTTCCACACTACGCTGCATTTATTTGTAGCTGTTTGATACATCTAAAATCAATATATTTGAGGGGTGCTTCTAATACTTATAATCAGTTTGACATGAGTTTAGCTTAACAGTCAATACAAACTCCTATTACATGGTGACTCAACTTTTCTAATTATTCTCAAAACTTAATAAAGAGAACAATATTTGAAAAGAGCAGCTTTACAGGCTGAAGCAAAGAGAAGAACAGAGAAGATGAAGCAGTACTGCGTTGCTCCAGCGTTGATATTTAAGCTTGTAAACTGAATGTCAGTGTGTTATCGGGATCACCACAGGAAGAAGAGAGTAAAGAGAGTGCATTGGTTTGGAATGAAGATTTGCATTCATGTTGCTTTAAACAGCGTACATCAACAAATTCAAGTTTGACTATGCAAATGAAAGTGGCACTAAGTGGTACTGTAAGTGAAATGGGGAACAAAAGATACACAAAGCCAACCAATCCATGTCCATGGTGCATTATACATATTTAATGACTTACAAACACATTAAAGCTTTCATTTTAATATACCAAACTAAATTTAAAATGCATCATCTTGCTCTTTTTTCATGTTTGCAAAAGAATGCACTTAAGCTAGTTAAGCTCTCACTTTGCAATTAAAAGAAAGATGCCTCAGAAGCGAGAACCCAAATCAAAGAGTGACACTTTATGCAAAGCAAGCAAGACTTTGGCTTTTGGCAGAGGCTGAGGGGATTACTCTACATCAGGCAGGATGCGCAGCACTACTGTGTTTAAAGCGTGGCTCTTTTCTAAGCATTGCTTCAGTACAGGAGAGCAATGGGATGGGATGCCATGCCAGCAGAGGGCCATAGCAAGGGGACAGTGCAATGGTGCTGCCAAACAGAGGGGAGGGGGGAAGCATATTGCACAATTCAGATTCACTTACCAAATTCATCGCCTGAATCAAAAAAGAAAGAAACCATTAGTACTGTGCAGTTCTAAATGATGTGTTAAGATTAATTAATTATTAATTAATTAAGAGTTTTGGTTGACATAATATTTGACTAAGTGTATTTCAGTCTTCTGTTTTTATATGTTGACATGGTGTGCAATAACTCAAAATGCCATTTTTATCCAAACACACTGTGACAGTTTGTTCTGGTTTAGTGGTTACAAGGCTCAGTTGTGACTATAATCTTAGAAGAAGCTATTGGGTATAGCAAGTCTGCCAAAACGCTGACAGTACATTGTAATGTAAATTCTTTTTTTTTATTTTATTTATCAATCATGTATGAAGACTATAAAGCAAAGTGTAAGGTTTTTTTAATGATATTCTTTCAGTAAGTCCTAATACATTTTTTTAAAAACACATCGCTTTATAACACTGAACATTTCTAGAAGACCAACAGAGGAGAAACATTGAGCAAAAGTTAAATCCTTGGAAGTTTTTGCACAAAAAGCCTTCAGTGTATTACATCAAATCTACAGCTGGTACTAGAGTGTGTAGCCATTTTAGCAATCGCACTTTTACATCATGTTTGTTCAGCTGATGCTACAATTCCCCTTTATTCCCTCAAGGAAGGAGTTGCTCTTTGTCAGCCATCTGAACTCAAAAGAGTGGCTTGCAAACTAGTTACTTTTGAGGGTGTTTTTCTTTGACAAATAAACTACTCTGGCTTAACAGCATAAAGGCTTCATTGATTAAACCCTTGGACAAGACATTGTCAAGCTACAGAAAATAAAAAGCTACAGAAAATAAGTTAAAAGGAAGAACAGCATTGAAAGGTGCTGCACAATGCCACAAAACATAAAAAATCCAAATGCCTTGACTACATTACATTTTTAACTAACTGTTAAAATTAAACTTGTGAATGGGTTTAAGCAGTACACATAAGCAGTGATTATACTTTTTCATTTACATTTTGCAATAAATATGTGTCAACTCAAAATACAGATGTATGTAAGTATGTGCATAAAAGTAATCACAGAGAGAAAACAGAAGACAACATGACTGATCCCTTGAAACAGAGAGGATGAAAGTCACCACACAGTATATTGCAAGCCTGATTTTCATTCATTATACTGCTCACTGTTGGTCCATTTTTAGAGCATGCTTTCCACAAAATGTGGAAGACGCAGAAAATTACGTTAATTCTAAGATCGGCAAGCCTTTTGGAAACACAATTTTTAATGCCACAATATGAAAGTGGAAAAGACTGGGGCAGATAATGTGGCAGCCTTGCTCTGTCCTTCACTGGTGAGGACTTCTAACTTCTGGACAGACAACAGGGAAGGGAGGAAAGTTATAGCTTACTATGAACAGTAAAAACATAAAAACAAGTTGATTCTCACTACGTTCTCATGGTAAAAAACTTATGAGATGTAAGGATGTAAGGAGGTTGCTGTATCTATTTCCCTACAGGTTATCACAACAGCCACTGCTGGGTGAACTGAACTACATGTGACATCCCTGGAAAAAAAAGACTTTTACAGTCTTTTACAGTGCTTTTACAGTTAAATTTAATATGAAACAATATGTGCCACTTGTGGATGTTGGTGTCCACTGGAGGATTAGTCTGCATACAGGGGTTAATTTAAATTGAAGTTAGCACTACAGAATGCCACAATGTATTCAGTATTTACAAGTGTCTATGTTATGTATATGCACATATGCAACAACAATATAAAGCATGAAGAGAGACCAGATGGATAGAAAGAACTACAAGATAAGTCAAAAGGAGTCAAATGATGACAACAGTCAAAGATGAATGTTTTTTGACTGTAAAGATTTACAAAACACACCACAAACAGACACATTATAGGAACTAAAAGTATCAAAGAAGGAAGAGTTTCAGGGAAAGAAAAAGTCTCAGAGAAGTACAGTTTGCTGCAGAAGCACGGCTGGCACTGACGACTGATACAGAGATGGAGCAACAAGCAGCTAAATGACCATTCACTGGGCTCATCAGGACAACTTGTGTAGCATTCCTTTAAAGAAGAAGCTTTAGAATCAGCTACTATGTTTTCACTACTGAGTGATGAGATTAGCGGTACAGTTCATGCAGCTTTGACCTCCAGAAGTTAAAAAGCTTTGTTTGTGCACTGCATGCATGCTACAGAAGCAGGACTGTGGTTCTCTTGGGTATATCAGAGAATAACTCCTTCAGAATATTTATCATCTGATTTATCGTTAAACAATGTATTTTACTTGCCAAGCTTGCATCCACTGATCTAACAGGAACTGGCCTTGCACCAAAGCAAGGGCTAATAATAATGTGCACAAATTAGTAGGTTATTGCAAAGCCAAGCCTTTACCAGCCCCGCCGAGCCCGCGGTGAAGCGCATACCTTTAGCTTTGACTGGATCTCGCGAGATTTTCTCCGGGCGAGAACCTGCAAGTGGCTAGAAACCTGCACAGAAGAATAGCCAAGAGGAGGAAAAGGAGACAGGGAGAGAAAAGACAAGGGAAGAAAGAGAGAAGCCGTAACCAAAGAGGAAAAAGTCGCCCAGTCAGTGTTGCCGGGAGGCAGGTTTGCGGGACCTACCTTTATACCGGCCTGGTATTCACGAACTTTCTTCCGTGCTAACACCTGTATGTGACTAGACACCTAAAAGGGTGTGAAACAGTTTTTGAGCATAAAAAAACAACATGCTCTCAGATGCATGCACACACACAGACACACACACACACAAACACACACACACACACACACACACACACACACACACACACACACACACACACACACACACACACACACACCCATATGCAAGTACAGACACATACTTGCAGACTTGATAACAAATACAGTGAGAGTTCTAAATAGTTCATGCAAACAATAAAAGTTGATTTAAAAGATAACACTGGTGATATTTTATATTTTACTTATTACCAACAAATCTCATGACCAAAACCATCAAAAGTTTCCCCATTGACCACCATTGTTGTCCAAAAATTTAAAATACATCAATGAGCCAAACTGTTGCACTGGGTTACATCACATTGCGTCTTTATGATGACTATAAACATTATTTTACTACAAATATGTATAAAATAGTCCCCAACAAATGCACTATTTACTCCTGTTTGAAAGGTGTTAAAACTACAGTGCCCAGCTGTTTCAGTTTTTTCCTTTTTAACAAATTAAACCCACTATGACCTACTCAAAGATTTACATTTAGTAGGAAAAAAATGGGATGGGTGGCTGAGAGCCACAGACAAGGCAGGTAAGTCGAAAGCTATTGAAATTCGGGCAACCACATCGTTGGTTTTGGTCTTTTCATGGGATTTGTTGACAATAAGAAATATAAATAATAAACTCAATTTACATAAATCCTTTAATGAAATAGTTACATATATAATTACAGAATGAACAGTGTTAACCCTTCTGTTGATATTTTTTTTATGTCTTGTAATGTCAGTAACTAAAACCATGCGTGATTATTCTAATCCAATCACCAAAGGCATTCAAACTTATTTACCTGTTTTCTTGTGCGGGTTTTGCCTGTCCTCAGCTTGATGTACCTTGCTATCAATTCATTGCGACCTGTAACAAAAAACAGAAAGCAAGGTCACAAACAAAAACAAGATGTAATATTTGTACATTGCTGACTTGATACCCTAAATTGGACAGAAGGTGGCACTCTTGTCATATCTTGAATGCACGTCTCATGTCAAAAGAACAACAGTGTGACCTTTCCCAGAGCTCCTCAGACCCCGGGCAAACACGCATTTGTTACAGGTCACAGTGCACAATAACACCTCTGTTTCCTATAGGAGATCTATTTTAAACATGTAATTTCTTATTTGAAATAAGCCAGATAAAGGTTGATTGCTTGTTTCACACCTCCTTATTGTCTGCTCACGTGGCCCTGTAGCCTAATTACAGATTGCTTAGAAAACAGAACAGTGCTTTTCATGACATAACATCTACTCTCGACATTCTGCACAAACAGGTTGTGCAGAGAATAGGCTTCTATTCTGGGCTTTTGTGGTCCTCTTTACATTCAGTGCCATACATGAGATTTAAAAACCGCTGCCTTTTTAGCAAAGTGCAGCTGGGATCAGGCAAAAAAATCATCTTCGGTGTATACAGAGTGCAAAAAGGATTATTTTGTTGTCTCAAGGGAAAATCAGTCCATCAGTCTTTTTCACTTCTTTTCTTTGCCAAGTCACGTTTACTGGGTTTCTGTGGCTGAAAAATTGGGCCAAAGGGAGAGGTTGAACCGCTGTATCATTATGAATAATGACCTAAACTCTTCTAAACTTGCTGACAGAAATTTACACCAACAAAAACTGGTCAAGATGTGCCACAATAGACTGTGTGTCTAAGAAGTCTACGGTTTAACAACCTTTAGAGTATCCAGACACATAATGACAGGAGAAACAAGTCCTGTTTTTTCACACACACTCTTTAGCACTTGGCCTCCAGAAGGCCCTGGTTAGAGCAATTACCATAAAAGTACTGCAGGCCATCTCCAGAAGGCTTGCAGCACTCACCATACTCTCCAACCAGTCAGCCCGGCGGTCGGCCAGCAGAGCAGAGCTGAACTGTCTGCCGATACTGAGCTAGCCCGCCCCCCTCTGCCCCGGGCCAAGGATGGACACGCCCGCTCCAGCGCCTCCGCATTCCTAGCATTCCTCCAAGCCTGTCACATCTGTGCTAGCCAGTCTGATTGGCCTGGGCCTGCGAACACAGCCAGAGCTCAGGCGGACACACATGCTCGTACGCACTTCCAGCTCTGGGAGAAGTAGGGGTTAGAGTCAGGGTGAGGGCCATTAGGTCGGGGTGGGGGGTTGTCGGTTAGAGGGGCAAAAGGGGCAGCTGATGCTGTAACTCTTGGAGGAAACACAAAGCCATAACTGTCTCTGCCAACAACTGCCACCTGGCAGCAAAGCAGCCCCTTTTCCCAAAACAACACCACTGTGTGACCCTGCACTCAACAGACAGCAGCACCTGCTGCCGACCATCCCAGCAGAGGATGGCAGAGAAAGAACAATGCCAGTTCGACCCCCACGCAACTGTCACTCTCAATCTCTTCAGCTGAGGAGCAGAGGGGGGAAAACATTACATCGTCCCAACTGCAGAGTTCTGCTATAAATTTCACAGATATCTCATTGCAAAGTGCTGTACTCTGAGATACAATATGAACAAGAAGGTAGAGGTCTGGATAAAGGCAAGAACTTCTTTGAGAATGGTGAGGTGGACTCAGTATTGTAGAGCGCTGGTCAGACTGTAAATACAACAGACTATCAGACTTTCAGGATTCTCCAAAGCTAATTCTCTTATTCACAAAGTTATGGGAATTATTTTAAAAATAGCAAACCGTACACATTTTTTGTAACATGCTTTATAACAGTGTTGAGCACAGTAATTGTTGGTATTGCGTGAGAAATCAAAAATGTGTTTTGATCATCCATCTGTTAAACAGTGGAGTTGTGTGGTTGTGAGCTGGGATGATATCTCCAGTTTTTCCACAACATCTGGTTAGTTTTGTGATATTTGAAATGACCACTTTTGTTCCATGTGCTATACAGTCGGATGCAAAGAGACCACTTTGATGCGGGTCAGGCAAATAACTCCAATTTCAAATAAATCTTTATAAAGTTGAATGTTAAAAATGGGACCATAAGACACATTCTCAGGCACTACTTATTCTGCACTATGGAAAAAGATCCAGTTTGTCTTTTGATACCACTGAAACACATTGAACACATATTGTTTTTATCAAAGGCTACATCCCTAAACGATAAATAGCACTACTTCAGCACAAAAGAGAAGAGTTGTTCACAGGGAGATAGCAAATGATTCTAGAAACACTGAGGTAATCAGTCCCAAATCCCTCATCTTCCACTTCACACCCTTGCATCAAATTTTGAAAACCATAGCAGACAACACATTTTGAGGGGTAACATAATGAGACATGTGTTCAACCTCAGACCTCAGGCATGAGAAACTCTGCTGAACAGAGCTTTTTTTTAACAGGCTCTCGATCACTCAAATCGTTAGGGTGAGTTGATACCTATTAAAAAAAAACCTGTCGCTGGATATCATTCACTTAAATTAAATGCCAACCTGACCTAGAATATAAAAATCAAAAAAATTCGACCTAGTTTTCTTAGAGCAGTGACCCTGTAGGACTGGTTATATTAACTGAGCATTTTTTTAGACACATTTCTCTCTCAAACCCCGACAGAGAAAATACAGAGGACGTGATCTCTGTGTTGTCAATAGTAGCGGCAGCCGTGGCAGCCGAGATCTGCTCAGACTTGACATGGTGGGGGTCAGAGAGACGGGTGAAAAGGCTGCAGGGGAACATGACAGGTGCACACAAACACACACACACAGCCGTCCAATTGCATGCATAGCTTCACTTTTCCTCTGACTCTAATTTCCCCACACTCGCTGTCTTTCCATCTCGCTACCCTCTTTTTGAGCTGCTTATGATTCCCTTGTTGATTGCTCAACACCCACTCACATCGCTGCAGGCTGCCATTCTTAACCTCTTCACTGACAGGACACGCCTATCTTTCTCTTTTACTACATGACCGCTGGAATTTTCCACTTCCACGCTAAGATAGTGAGTAAAAAGGTAATCTCTTTTGACTCTCCATACACCCCCCCACCCCTCCATCTCCATCTCTCTCCTTCTCTCCTGCCCTTTTCTCCACCCATATTCTCTCCCCTCCTCCCTTCTCATAACATTGAGGTAATCCTAAATTGCTAACATACTGCTCAGCCATGACTGAAAACATTCCTAACATCTCAGTGAGGGGGCTGACAGGGAAGGCCTGCTCAGTCATCATTACAGAGTGCTCAGCCCCCTCTCTTATATCTTTACACACATCTTTTCTCACATCTTCACACATGCACTGAGCCTGCCACTAATTTCTAATGTGGCCTTCAAAGGTCGAAACAGACATAAGCCTCCCTCTAGCACTGAAGTATTTCTCTTTTTTTGTACCCAGAGTGCTTTGCAGTAGTGACAGCTGCAGGGAGAGAGAGAGGGAGGGGAGAGAGAGAGAGAGAGAGAGAGAGAGAGAGAGAGAGAGAGAGAGAGAGAGAGAGAGAGAGAGAAAGAGAAAGAGAGGTGTGTGCTTGGGGTTTGACATACCTGTCTAGGCCAGAAAACGCAGGGGAACAACATGTCAGTACAGCCCCAAAGCAAAACAAGACAGGCAACATTTTTTTGACACACACGTCTTCTGAAGATACTTCCTCTGAACTTGGGTGTAAAATGTGCCAACTATTTAATTATACCGAGAACAATTGTCTCTGAGCTTGGCTTTTAGTTTGTTGAACTTAAAAAGACACAGCAGATAAACCTACCAGTGAATTTGGCATGGATAGTGTGTGTTCATTGCTTTCTATATGAGCAATCAAAGGTCACAGTTTGGGAAGTAGGCAAATTTGTTTTCTTGCCGAGAGTTAGAGGAGAAGATTGATAGCACTCTCATATGTGTCTCTTAAATATAAATCTACAGCCAGCAGCTGGTTAGCTTAGCTTAGCATCAAGACTGTAAACAGCTCGTCTGCCTTAATCCAAAGCCTACAGGCAGGCCTAAAGCTCAATAATTAACGCATTATATCTTGTTAGTTTAATCTGTACATAAACCGAAGCGTAAAAAAGTAATTTTGTGGTTGAATGGGATTTTGTGCTGGACTATTTCTTGGCTCGGAGAAGTGACTTCTTGATCCAAACTTGTTTTTATACTTTCTGTACGGAGTAAACAAACAAGATATAACCTGTTAATAAGTGTATTTAGTAACCTTCGGACAGGAGCCCGGCAAGATGTTTTCCTGTGCTGATACCTGATGATACCTTAATAACATTTATTGTTGGAATGATCATTTTTGCATTACAAATTAAATTTTCACTGAAAAACATCAAATGCATATTGCAAATGGCCATATTGTGATTTCAATAATATTTAGATTACTTTTGCAGCCCCAGATACAAGTAAGATGCAGTTAGATATATTCTATTATAATTGTGAATACATCACAAACTAGAATTCAGGTTCTTTAAAGGTCCAGTGTGTAGCATTTAATGGCATCGGGCAGTGTAATTGCAGATCGCAACTTTATTTTATTCATTAACTTTATTTATATTCAGGCGATTATACACAAATGAAAACATTCTTATGAATATTATATTCCATTTCTGCCAACAGATCCGTTACACACTGGACCTTTAAGTCTTATTCATGTTCTCAAACTACTGAAGTGATTATTAACATGTGTGACTTAAAACTGAGTATTATGCTCCTTTGAACTCTTTGTCACCCTTGAGCTACGTAAATGACTGGCAATGCTGCTGGGAAGTCTAGACAGGGTTGTAGAGCAAAGAATACACATGTATAAAGAAGTCATCTTGCTAAGGCAATGGAAATTTGCAAAGGTTTCCCACCAAATGAAAAAAAAAAACCTGGCAGAAAAAGTGGAATTCCCAATGGGAGGGATGACTTGCCTGCTTTTGGAGGCCACTAGGAGTCTGAGACTGCAAGGTAGACAGTATTACATAGTGCAATCGTTAACATTCCCCTAAACTCACGTCAGGGCAGCTTTTAGATGTCTGAGGTAATCACCTTGTGAGAAGGCTTCTTCTGGGGCATGCCTTGGCTCTGCCAGCAGAGCCTCAGATGACTTATTGTAAATGGAGAGGGTGTTTAGTGCTCTAGAAAAAAACAGGCCTCTAAAAGGGGTCCTGACAGTTTGTTGCTAAGGGGGCAGGTTTGTGCACGGCCTGCCTCTTTGTTGACGTTCTCATGACAAATGTATGGAGCCTTGAACACAACACTGCCCCGCTAAACAGGACTGAAGAGTTATTTAGGTAAATTTAGAGATGCCTGCAGTGATTTGTGCTTAAGGTCGATCCACAAATTAAAAGCGTGTTGTAAACTAGTTGTGTCATTCTGGAAAAATATACAATAAGTTTACTAATACTTGTTTTTAAGCATATGTCCCTCAAGTCTGCTTAAAATGGAAATCTGATTGATTTACTTAAATGTAATTAAAAATGAGTCAGAAATGCTTATTGTAAACAGACTGAACATAGTAGTCAACAGTTTAGTCATCATATAGTTTTGTAGTTCTGGGGTTACAATTAATTTTATTTAAAATTTAAAATTTCATTATGGATGAATCTGTGAATTTATTGTACAACAATTAATTGTTTAGTCTACAAAATGTAAGAAAACCGTGAAAAATGCCTGTCCTGAGGATCCGAGAGCCCAAGGCAATGTCTGACAATGTCTTGTTTTGTCTAACTTTGAGAAGGTGGAATCAGCAAATGTTTGGCATTTTTGCTTGATAAATGACTCAATTAATTAACTGATCAGAAAAAAAAAATGTTGTTGATTTAATTTTCTGTTGACTAATCGATGAATCCCAAACTTGTTTCCTCACTACTATGCTCCTTCAGTGAGGATCAGAGTAACAACAGAAGCTGCAACAGTGGGTGAGTTATCTCAGGTATGTGCTTCTCCTTGAATATCGAAATCTGCCTGACAAATTCCATCTTGGGTGAATCACGCCACAAGAATCCCATCTGACGTCAAGCAAAGAAAAGCCACCCTAAAAAACAGAGCTTTAAAAACAAACACTAATGCTTAAAAAATACACAGCCTGTCTCTGACTTTGGTGGTAATGATTGATGGTTTTTATGGTTGCTCTGAAGCCAGAATCAATTTCAAGTTTTTGAGACATGATGGACAATAATTAAAGGGCAGGGAAGTCTCGCAAAGCATGGCTTGAGGGAGTTGAGTTACGATGGTGAAAATAACATAATTTCACATAACCAAAGAGAAGTTTGTTGAGGACAGAGGGGAAGAAGGCAGCACAAAACCTGTCAATCAAAATTTACTGCTATTCAGCAAAATTTCCAACTTCAAATGCTAAATCTAATTAGGAGAGCATGCACTGTCTCAACAACAAGAATGGGAAAGTGGGATCAAAATAATGAAAGGCAAATGCGTTCAATTTCCTACACCTGGATGTCAGTGATTCTACCTAAGAACTTGCCAACATATCCATCTGGAGTTTTTCAGGACATTAAGGGCTCAACACCTGCAATTTAATGAACACACTGCAGGAAACAGCATAACTATTCTGAAACCATATGGATGTTTAAAATCTCCAACATGCCAATGTGATGTTTTTGTTCCTGAGTCTCGATTCACGCTGGGCTAATTATTGCTAATTTAGCTGAGCTATCCAGCATCAAACGCAACACTTCTCCAAAAACCAGCTCCAACCAGTCACCTACAGGCAAAACTCTCACAGCAATACCGGTGTGGGGAGAAACAAGTGCATGACGTTCACCGATAAAAAAACAAAGAGCAGGTTTTGCAACTAAAAGTTTAGTGAGAAAGACAGGAGGCCGTAAAACAGTGGGCATAAAAATAGGCTGTAAAGACTGAAGAAAAAGACAGGTGTAAATCAAGGCAAGAGGAGCTGAGATGCTCTCAAGACAGCAATAACCAGCTCTGAGAGTGCTGGTGCGACTGGAAGAACCTGCCCCTGGGTCACAGCACAACAGGTACAGACTTGTTAAAGAGAGCTCTGTGTGGAAAGAAAACATTCACCTCTGTGTAAAAGCTGTGACATGAGTGCAAGAGGAAGAAAAGTATTTTTCTCATTTCTTTTCAGGGCACTATGGTGGTTGTTTGTTTTCACTCAGCCACAAATCTCTGCGGAATGGATGGTTTTCCCATTCTTGTGCATTCATTATGGAACTGATTTCCATGTAATTGTTGTTCTTTTGTTGCTCTGGCTGTTATCCAGTGTACTTACCATACATCTTTCCCTCATCTGACAGGATGATTTTCCTCCTGCCACAGGGAGGGTAGATGGCGAGGGCCTCCTGGAAGCTCTGCTCGATATCCGGGCTCCACACGCCCTCGGCGTCCCCGTCCAGGGTCTTGTCCTCGTTGTCCCCGTCCAGCCCATCTTCTGGGCTACCGTTGGCGCTCCACTCGTTGGACGCAATGGTGGCGGCTCCCCCTGGGCCCGACCCCGAGCCCCAATATCAACGGATCTGTAGGAGATCTGTGGAATGAAGATACAAGTTGCTTAGCTGTTTTTGCTGAATATGGATTTGAATTGCACAACTTTAGCAAATGTTAATCATCATAATCATAATTACACAACACATGATATCCAAACAGTGTCAACGCAGGTATAGGTCAGCCTTCTCCACCAAGGCAGAGAGTTATATTTTTCTTCTTATCAGCAATGATTGGATAGTAATGTCTGTCTAGCAGAAGCCTGATGTAGCATATATTCCATAGAGCTCCATTATTGTTTGAAATCATTTAAAACACATCAGTGAGCCACACTGTTGCAATCTGTGGCATGTTTTGTGATTGTGACTGTGGGCTCTGTAGTTTTTTGGAATCAATTGAACACACACTATACCGGCGATATATAAACACTCACTGACTAGCGCATCAAATCTGTGTTAATCCGCAGCTGCAAATAGTCCCCACCAAATGTACTATTTAATCCTGTTTGAGAAACATTTGCTAAAAAACTACAATGCCCACCTGTTCTAGGAAAATAAACTATATATTTGGGACCCATTTTTAAGGATTTATGTCTTCAGTATAAATGAATGGGATTTCTGGACAACAAGACAAGTATAAGAAATCTGCAATCTTTTTGTTTACTACATTGTTTATCTGATTGGGAAACAATAACCACCAAGTAACAAGTGTGCTGTTATCAGCCATAATTCAACATTTCTTCTAATAAAGACACTTCTCTTTATCCACGATAAGTACAGCTTTTTGCAATATTAGAAAAGTCAGTCAACATAAGGTTATTTTTTTAGCAGGAGAAAATACCAGCACAGACTGCTTGTATCAATTTTGGACTAGTGACCAAAGTCGGAACTGCGGGTCATGTGACGCCAACCCACAAGCAAATCCATTACAAACAAATGTAAAACTTAGAAAATGTCTACATTCAACATTCAAAACTTACTCTTTCATGACATCTATCATAGTGTAAAATTACAAGGCATCATTTTCCCTGACATTCATGTGTGGAGGAAATCCTCCAGGTATGCTGTTGGCATTGGATGGATGAGTAGAGCAAGAGTTTCATGAATCTTGGGAAAGCGTTTCAGAATATATCCACTGCTGCTTTGAATACATCTTAACACACTGAACTGTGATCACCACAGTGAGTGTTTTGATTGTGTGTTTACAATCAAATTCTAAATAGATGCCTAACGGATCGAAGAACACGGAGAAGCATCAATCCATCATGTCTACAACTTAAATAACATCTTCCATACTATGTGAACTTGGTTCCCGCTCAGTTGGTCCAGTTTTTAATTAGAAATATGCATAAATGGAATTTACTGCAAAGAAGGCCAAGAGTTCATGTACAACATAATGAGATACTTTAGAATAAGGAATGTCATTCATCTATAGGTCACTACTTTGGCGTTCTTTTTTTTTTTTTACATTTTCTTTATTGCAGTCATTAAATTTGTATGAATAAACAATGTTAACCGTAATTATTACTATCATTTCCTATATTTTATTTCTCTGAAATGGCCAAATGAATTCAAGATATTCCATAAAACTAAGTTTAAAGACCTCACTAATCAGCACTGGCCTCAAAGAATTCTTGTGGTCTGGGAACTGTGTCCCAGTGTGGTTGGCTTATGGCTGACTGCAGGCAAAGATCTTAAGTATTTTTCAAGCTGCCTTTTCAGCATTGTATTGTTTCTGAAATGGAAGTATATGAGGTAACCATGATCCTCCCAGGATGCTTGTCTTTCTGCTTTAGCATTTCTGCAGATGCGGACAAAAATAAAATAATAATGGATAAATACAGAGAAGGCTAAAATGAGCGTACCTGAAAACGACAGTGATAAAGCTACACTTACAGTTTATATCATAGAATGTTAAAGAAGTATGGTATTATTTGTTTTTAGTGGTTTTTTTGCCATTATAAGCCATTTCTGACTTCTTTTATGAGGTTTTACACAGAGAGACAGAAAATATTAACAGTGTGATTCCTGTAACATAAAAATCAGCCAAGACATTAAGTTTCAGTCTTGCAATGTGATTTTTATTTCTAACTTTATTTAGAAAAGTAACAGTAACAATATGAAAATATCTATGCAAATCAGTGAAACTCTTTTTCTCAAAGCCGCAGAAAATCTTTGTGATTCTTCATAGCATAATTACACTGGAGATTTATTTAATCTGGATATATTCACGATGAGAAACAAAGTCTGACAAAGTCTTATTTAAAACATTAAATGAAAGATGATCATTCATGATAGCCCTGAAATCTCCCTCAGCCTCCTCTTCTCTGTTGTGCCCTCAGATTTGGAAAGATTCACACTTTAAAATGGTTGCAGTTACATCAAATAAACCGAGATCCAGAGAAAGTGAAAAAGCAGAGTTGAGGGATTAGTGACGCTTCCTTTCCCTTCCCATCATCATTTAACGGGAATTACAAAAGATCAAAGGCGAGTAGTTGCAAAGTTCCTTCAGTGATATTCCGCCACACGCAACATACTTTTAAATTCATGGATGTCACTCAACCTAAACGAGAGTTTGACAATTATCCACAAGTCGAGCTGCTAATTTTAGCAAAGGGGCTATTGGTTATGGCGGACCCCTTGCAACAGGGTCACGGTGTTAGAACTCAACACTGAAACGGAGCTCTCATCAGCAGCTCAAGTGATCCATCTCAGTCCTCACAGATCACACGGTTGGATCACTCCCAAAGGCCACTAACAACGACTAGAGTTAGGGCTAGTTTAATCACATTCTGTCCTGCCAATTTGTGAATAAATGCAACACACAGAAATGTGGATATGTGAGTAAATAAATCAATAAATGAATAAAATTTGAGCTGGAACGACTAGATGATTTGTCAGAAAAAATGACAAAACAAAATATGCTAGCTTTGAATATGTGAGGATATGTCTGTTTTTCTTTGTCTCTAGTGAACAAAATATCTTCGTGTTTTGGACTTTTAACTGCACAAAAAGTAGTTTAAATTAGGGCCGCAACAACCACTATTTTCATTATTGATTCATCTGCTTATTATTTTCTTGATAAAGAAAATGTATAAAATGTCAGAAAACTGTATTAAAAATAAATAAATAAATCTTTTATAATTCAGCCAAGGATGATGTCCTAAAATTTTATATTTTATTCAACCAACAGTCGAAAAACCAGCCAATATGTGTCTTTTTTTTTGCATGAATTATCAATTTGGTGACCAATTATTTTCTGTCAAATTAATCGACAATTTCAAATATGTCAATAATGATGGGCGTAAACATTTTTCAAACCACTAATTAAGAAAATAATTCAGGATTAACAAAGATAATCATATGTTGCAGCTCTAAATGGGATTTAATCAAATTTAAAAAATCCTTGTTTACATAGCTATCTCAACATTTATGGTAGCCTGTCATGACATTAGCCATAATGATTTGACTTATTTTACAGTCTTGCTGTCAGCAGCCTGTGTGTTGGTACAAATTAAAAACAGAAACATATGTAGGCACAAAGAGCCATTAACATTAACACTAATGTAACCCTTAAATACACATTTCTTCCTCAGTCTCAAGTACAACAGATGGTGTTTGTGTGGTCTAGTGTGAAAATGTCTTTCAGGCAGCCCAAAGTATTTCATTAATGAATCCACAGGTGCTTTGGGGCAACAGCTTCAGTACAGCCGGGGCAATAATCAAAGACTGGTGGCACAGTGAGGGAGGGAGGGGCGGGCCACTCTATTGTTTATCTCCAATTATAGCTGAGAAAACACCGCAAACCTCCTCCTCACTGCGACCTGTGAAGAGCAACAAACGGCGTTTGGTGTAGCACGCAGATCTGACGATGGAGCTCCGAGTGTTCACGAGAGTGTGTTCAAGTGAGGTGCTGCGAAAAGAGAGGCTCTTCACCAAGAGAGGGGCCTGAATTCCAGACATGTCCTTATTAAGAAAGGGCTGCGAGTGCTCACTGTTTCTCCTCCTGCCTCCCTTGTGTCAACCCAACGCCCTCCCTCCACCCCCCCCCCAACCCAGCGCTCAGAACGTCTCTACCCAAATAAGGACAGGAGACCAGGGGATGCGTATGGGAGGAGTGGGTGGTGGGTGGGTTGGTTGGTTGGTTGGTTGGTTGGAGAGCAGAGGGGGAAAGGGGGTGTGTATGTGTGTGTGTGTGTGTGTGTGTGTGGGGTGGGGGGGGTAGTTGTCCAATTTAGGCGTCCACTTTGGGGTCTGGAAAACAGTGGGATTGTTCCAGCTGGAATGCAACATCAGCAGTGAACACGCTCCCGCTTTGTGACGCTCAGAGCTCAGACTAGAGGCAGGGCATTGTCAGTGGAGCCATTTCTCAATACATCCTCTATTGGAGTCACAGGATTTAAAATCAAGACAATAGTCATGACTTCATGATGAAAGTGAGTGGTAAATAAAGTTACAGGGACAGTTTTATGGACTCAAATGCAACAGCTAGCTTGACAATCGAAGAGAGTTCCAATAAAAGGGCTCAAGATGAAGACCTTTGGGATTCAACTCTCCAACGTGATTTACTGCCAGCAAGTCATTTTAGAAGAAAAACTGTCGTAATTAACATATTGATTATATTAAAACAGCTGTTACAAACACACTGTAATGTCCCTTTGAGCCAAGTTTGGGTGAGAAACTCCACAACATAGTAATGACTCACGCAACAAAATAAACTGCAGATACATAGAGCTGCACACACAATAACACATAAGCTAACACATAAGATACAATACATAAAGACAGTTACAGCTTCAAATACAGAAAATAAATCTGCAACTACTGAAATTTTGATAATCGTCCATTTCGAAAAAATGCCAAATGATCCGCATTCTCGCTTCTCTGTTGTGAGGATTTTCTGTTTCTTCTTGAGGTTTTGGGCTGGTGGTCGAATACAAAAAATTAAATTTGATTACACAAATTGGCCTTTAGGAAATTGGATGGAAACTTTTCACTATTTCCTGATGTTTTATAGACCCAAACTAGTAATCAGCTAATTGAG